ACATCACAATAGTATCTGCACCTGTCCATTCAAAATATCACTTAGCAGTACTTCTGATTCGCTGCATTATCTTTCTATCTGCATTTCGATCTTAACCCTCTAACTCTTGTTCTTACCATAACAAGACTCCAGCAACTTCGTGCGAAATATTCCTCTTGGCCTCGCTGAAGAGACCAGTTCTCTAACCTTGGGCCCCTTCATTGTACATTTTCCCATCTGCAAGTGAGGAGACAGAATACCCTCAGCAGTCTTGTTGCCGAGTTACTGCTATCAAGAGCGGATTTCCTCCCACCGGAAGATATCTACTGTCTTTCGCTTTGCAGCCGTCGACTTTTCGCGACATTTGTGAGCTGCAGGAAACGCGAGAAACTCGAGAAGGAGATTCGGCTATCCTTTTTAAATAGACTTGAACGAGATAATCCAGAGTACTTCACATGTTACGCCTGCCGTATTCTCCACAAATAGGACAACGGGGCAAAGAGCTTTGTGGTATCAGGGCTGGCCTGCACCGTTTCCTTTGTACGCAGACGCGAAACGGACAGTTTATCCCAGAGTTGATAATGGCTATATATATCAAACACCTCAAGTCCTACATTGAAAATGAGTTTTGTTTCATTCATATTCAACTTGCCATGAGACGGTACCACTACGGTCCTCAATTTGGTATTCACCCATCCGTACTATATTTCACCGGAGTTACTGTTCGCAATACATCTACTGCCCTACATTCTTTTGAGGCACAGATATGCATCGATTTACGATCCCAGTTTTATGCTTATGGATCCAGGACATCATGTCAGTGAGGCACTTAGGAGCCGAGCAGCTAGTATCCGACAAGGACGAACAAGTTCCTCCACAAATTTACCAAATTTGCGCGCACATAGGATACGACAAATTACTATCTTCGATCAAGGAGTTTATCAGTGGTTATGACAGGAGAACGCTGCCACTTTTGCGGACGACATGCGACCACTGCAACACCGAATATCAGCTGGAGCTGCGTGAATATGGGAAAGAGAACCTTGCTTATATGGTCACTAGGTGGATTAATCTTGGGCCGGGACGAAGCACGGATGATCCCCAACGGAAGAAGGTCCACTCGCTTGGATCACAAGATGTTCCTTTCATCCTAGGTCTTGAACATATGCTTTCGAGCGCTCGGGGGTTTTTTTGAAGCTTTAGCTACTACATCGCTCGACAGGTTCTCCACTCGGAATCTGCACTATCTAACTGATCAATACTATCGAGGTGTGATGACGCAACTCGACGGCTCTCTGCCTTCCTGGGGTCTATGGAATGAGCCAGTTTGAAGATACATCATGATTACTTGTCTAGTATCAACTCTTGCGTAGCTAAAGTTCAATTTTTGATGTGTGTGACTCTCCGAGGCAAGATGCATGTAGCAAACACTGTAATGCACGCCCGTAACCTGCCGGTCATTCGAGAATACCAGCCAAATCTTCAAAGCAGACCACAGCATCAAACAAATCTACCAAGCTACAACTGTGAAAAAAAAGATAATAAAATTTATATTTCAAAATTGGAACTGGTCAACCTCCCCCAAAAGCCACAACTGTATTTCTAGAAGCGCAGCGAGATCATTCATCGGAATCGCCAGCTTAGCCCTCTCATCATGCCACCCATGCGTCCGTTTAACCAGGCTCAAATCATGGCCATGAGGCCGAGCAGAGTCAAAATCGATAATGACAGGCGTGTCACCTTGAAACATGATGTTGCACGGATTGATGTCATTGTGGACGATACCCAACCCATGCAGATGTTTCAGGCCCCGTGCAATTCCCTCCACCCAACGATCGACCTCGTCTCGGTCAACCTGGTGTCTCTCGTATGCAAAGTCTATCTTATTGCGTCTGGCAGAGTTAACTCTGGTCATGAGCGTTTCATCATATTTTGTGAAATAGATTCCTCTGATTGAGCCATCGTCGACGATGGCGCAGCCGTGGTATTGGGCAATATTAGGATGCGGATTTTTCTTAAGCAGTTCGCAAGTTTTCACTTCTTCAACCCAGGTTTCTCGAATGAGGGCTGGGTATTGGGGGCTGTAGGGTGAAAGGCTTGGCTTTTTCAGATGCCAGGCCGGACAATCCGAGGGCCTTTCTGCCTTGGTGAATTTGTCCGAGAACTCCGGGAAAATGAGAGCCCCTTGGATTTTGTTGGTGCTGAACATGTCGGCAAACTGGATCTCTTCTTTCGATGTATATCGCTTTCGGGAGTATGCTCTGTAGATTGAGCCGGACATTTCGTAGACTATGATGGTCTTCTGGAATGCGAAAGCATCTGCGCGGCCTCCGAAGTCTTCGGAATATTCGAGAACGTACATTGTGAAGGGGGCCGCGCATCAAGCTAGAGGGGAAAAGAAAAATGCAAGGTCAGCTCAGAGGTAACTGGTAGGGGAGTCAAACGGTTGAAGGATCATACGATGAAGCGGGTGCCCGCCTAGTCACGTTTAAAAGTATTTCACCGGTTGTTTGCACTTTATCGTCACTCAAGGCTTGTGTGAGGGAAACCAGTCAGATTAGGGGCCAGAAGGGGCAACCGAATTGGGAGCCCGCCTTCATGACCGAATATATCTCTCGGTCTTGGGCGTGTTCCCCATTCTCTTTATTCACACATCGTGCATCCTCACCACATGTATCAAGAGAGGAAAGTGAGAGGGGATATAATTCCCCCACAATACCACCAAACAGCTATGCGACAGGTTGAAAAGAGTCACTGTTATGACCATCATCCCCTGTGTTACGTCGAGCAAGCTATGCCCTGCTCAAGGAACAGCTCCCAGGGTCACCAACCACCAACTATCAACGAGACAATTCATTGTTATTTTTGTCCTCTCTTTCGAAGCCAGGATCCCTGGGTTAAAATGTAAGATTGGACTTTTACTTGGCTTGCGTCGGTATTTCTTCACGACTGAACGAATTACAGGAACAACATAGAATCCGACCCCCGTTTCCGACACCACAAAACCTGCTGTCATAATCGACATGAAAGCCAATGTGCTCATCTCCATCCCCGAGCTCGATCTCCTGAATCGAGTGAAGACGAAGAGCACCATTACTACACTGGGCATTACCATATTCAAGGGATCCATTCCAATGAGCGACAGCGCGATCCACCCACAGTCAACCACTTCCACCCAAAAACCCCAAATAACATGATTCATCGTGTCCACCGTCACGCTGCACCACCAGAACGAGGTACCTTTGCTCGTGCTACCGTGTGTAAGTCACATGAGGACGGGTACGATAGCAGAACAAAAGTTGTTAGATTTGAGGAGGATGAGACTATGCCCGAGTATGCCGAGACTCACAATTCAAATTGTCCTACACATCATACTCAGTCCTCCGTAGAGGACCGGCATCATTCTAACTGCAATTCCAGACAACACCAGTCCCAACCCCGAGAATCGAGAACTTACAGATGGGTATGGGGCCCTCCGTTACCCGCGATGGTGTCGCGACGCGGAAAGATTTATTATGCAGAGGACTATTGAGCGTTGTTATACAATGAAGCAATGTCTATTAGAAAAATAGCAATTCTCTACGGATTCGATCGATTAAAAGCCACCAAGAATATCAACTTCCCCCACCCTCATACCTACTCTGATAATGTCGCTATGCATCGAAATCAACGTAGAACTATCCATTTGATACCTTCGCAGGATGGGGGAGTTGTCGTCGCTAATTCTGCAGGTCAAGACTTCGTACTTTTGGAGCGTCTATTCCAGCGCCGTTGTTTCGTTTGATTCGAGAAAGAAGAAACGAAAAGAAGGAAAACTTGGTGAATCAGCTCTGGACCCTGTTACGTCCTCCCCTAGCTCGTTAGATTTTCAGAGCCAACTTCCAACTTCTCCACCTGTGTAGGCATTCTTGGATCGAATGTGGCTTGGTTGTACGCCTCCAACGCCGACATACGTACGTATGGCTCCAAGAAATTACGTGCGGGGATCCCTGTACACAAGGGCGGCTAGGTGTAAAGAAGTCAGCCTCAACAGCCCGCAGATCGACAGATACGAATCTCTGAATTCCTCAAATGGACATGCATGCTTTCTACACAACCTTTAATTAAAAAGTATTACGGCGAGGCATTCAGGTAAATGACTCAGATGAGAGGAGATAACGCCATAAGAAGCACGTAGAGCGCGAATGCGCAGGAAGACCACAGGCAGCAATGCCGCCGATAGCGTGGCATGTGGGGTCTGCCAGCTCACTATTGCATACAAGGCTGAATGCCACTCGCCCTACTCATAAATATGTCGTCTCGCTCTGAAAGCATTTACCATTCGACTAACCATGGAACGCTGCGACTTGTGTGATCGATTTTTTGGTGACCGACAGGCACTTCAACAGCATATTCGAGATACACCGGCACACACTTTGACGTTTCCATGCGAACCTTGCAATCGGACTTTTGTCAGTCACAGCGCCCTTGATCAGCATGCCCGAGACTTGCCTGTTCATACCAGCACGTACGGCTGTCAGCCTTGTGGCAGGTCTTTTGGTAGCCAAAGTGCCTTGGACCAACATGCTCAAAATTCACCAGCACATGCGGCGTCATTTGGCTGTGAGCCTTGCGGCAAAACCTTCGTCAGTCAAAGTGCCCTTGACCAGCATCTACGGGATTCGCCTACGCATACCATTAAATACGACTGTGAGCCTTGTAGTAGGTCTTTTGGCAGTCAAGCTGCCTTAGACCAACATGTTCAAAACTCACCGGCACATACCGTTTCATTTCACTGTGAACTTTGTGACAGAGACTTTGGCAGTCAGATTACCCTTGATGATCATATCAAGGACTCGCCTGCACATACCACTACACATGAGTGTGAACCTTGTAACAGGTCCTTTGGCAGTCAAAGTGCCTTGGACCAGCATGTTCAAAATTCACTAGCACATACCGCTTCATTCCATTGTGGGCTTTGTAACCGAACGTTTGTCAGGAAAGATGCCTTGGATCAGCACATCCAATATTCAAAAGCACACATGGCGCCGCCCAGCACACCGCTGGACGAGTTCTTCCAATCCTTCGCAGGCTTCAGTTACAATCCAAAACTACCTCCATCGGAAACATATGCTCAGCTTAAGAGGTTCTGCCACTGGGGACAATACAGTCCAGAGGATAAAGAAGCCTGGGAACAATACCAATCTGCATTAGAAGCGGAGGTGAAGATGTGGTTTGGAGCGGAGGATGACCTTGGCGCATGGCATTCTCTTTGTCGCGCTATCGGAATCGAGCCTTTGCCTGCAACCTGTAAGCAGGCTGCGAATGTAAGTACTGGTGAACAGTCCAGGACTATGCATATGTTTTTAGGATCTTCGATGAGGATCCAGTAGTCTTGGTCGGCGAAATTGGCTAATAAGGTGACCTAGGCCGTCCGAGGCGTGTTCGTCAATATTATCGATTTAATCGCCTGGGCTCGAAGTGGAAGCACGAACAACCGAGTGAAAAGGTTTTCCAGCCTAGAAAAGCTTCGAAAATATACCAAGAGAACGAGAAAGATCTTCCACAATAACCTTGATGAGGGGGATGATGGTGGGAACGTTGTACTTCGGCATCTTCTCCGATTCATTTTTCGGGCAACGCCGAGTGAGCTCCGTCGTTATGGCCATTAAAAACTTGCAGAAGGATAATATTGGGTAAGATGGTCAGTGCACTTTATCTGTAGATGGGAGGCTGTATGGGTGTATGACAGTTTGAAGCTCGGGAGGCCAAAGGATGAATGCTTAGTGAGAACTTCCTCGTCACAATGTAAATAATCTGTTGATCTGCAGCATCTCTGGATCGGTCTCAGTGGCTTGTACTAGGTGATCGAATGTCACTCCGTAATAATCAATCTCCCTGGTCGAGGAAAATGATATTAGTCATAACACCCTTTTTAATAGAAGAAGGAATAAATTTATTCTGTTACGCAGTTCTATAGAGGTTCCTTGATTACATAGCCTAGGTTGTCATCCTGCACAACTAGCCCATTAGGGCTTTCTGGAAGATGTCTCGTCCATATAGCTGTTGAAATGTCAACTTCGCTAGTTCTGGGCCCACTGGCTGTGGAAATTCCTAGTACCCCATACGTAAACGTAAGGGTGCACCTAGAAGTAGTCTTTCCATCGAGGTAAGAGGAATTTCAATCTAGATTCGAAGTTGTTGGAATCTACAGGCAAGTAAATAAAGTCACAATGTATGCATTGTGTAGAGATAGCTATAGGAACTATGGAGGAAAGAGAGTAGTAACTACTACTATTGTAAAATGCATCATGTGGCAGGGAACGATATCAAACAGAAGTGGCCACTCGTATAGCGGGGAATAAATATCGCCAGGAGGTTGTGAATGCAATGAAGGATAAAGAGCGCCATTGTGAACACAGCCCTAGGATTACACCCTCAGATGGCTTTCGCCGTGTGGTACCAAGCTTCATAGCACCCCGCGCCATAAATACCACACATCAACCTCCCTTCACACTCAAATTGAAAGTCCCCCAACTACTCTTTCAGCATACCCCCTTTAACTTGCTCATGTTCCAAGATGAGTGATGCTGAACATCCCCTCGAACGTGACACCGAGGAGAACGAACCTATCAACTTCGAATGGACTCCTGAACTTGTGAAGATTGGAACCTCTCGTGGCGATATACATCCGTCCATTGGTCAGCTCGAATTCTACAAGGACTCTGCAATATGCAAGTACCGGCCCGGAATGACTCTACCAGACCCTGCAGACACGCAGGAGTGTCTTAGGTGGGTTGGTCTATCCGACAAGAAGATAGCTGAGGTGGAACAAAAGTTCAACGCACTACATCCAGATTATCAAGGGCCTAGCAGTGGATATGATGAGAAATTTAAGCAGTATGCATATGCCGACAATGAAATTACATTCCCCAAGATTGAGGAAATTATGCATATTTTCATTCGAGGAATGCATGATGACCACGATGAGTTTGAATATACCCACAGTGAGATTTTTAGTCGGTGATAGGCAGTTATCAGCTAATCAACTCAACATAGAAGGCTACATTGAGGTATCCGGCTAGGACTCCGGCCGGAATTTGCGATATTCTGTGGACATAGTAAGATGGGCAGAATAAGACATATAAGAGGCGGAGATGCTACAGATGGACTAAGAGGGAACTGAGTGAATCGATATTGAAAATGAGACTGGGTTGAGATATAGAAATGTTATGAATGACATTACTATGCTTAACGAAGGTAGCACCGTTCTATCTTGTTTTCCAAAGTTCATATGTCTAAAAAAATCTCAACTGATTTTCAGTCCCGCTGCAGCTGCTCTTCATCCCTACCAGGTAATTTTCGACGACTTACCAGGCATACGATAACATTTCAAGTTGGCAAGCCGCATTACTAACGTCGAATTAGCCGTTGACGTAGCCTCGGACGTTCCCACGGGATTGGTCGTTGCATAGTTTGAGAAGGTCTTCTCGACATATTTGATACCATCCAGTAATACTTGCGGGGAGGGGGAGGGGGAGGGGGAGGCATATCCCAGTTCGACATATCCCTTTAACGCTTAGTGGACAAACTTGTCTACTTTTAGTTTCCTTAGGCATAAAGTGCAGGGAGATGAACACGAGAAGAAAGCAACTCGTGATCCAAAAGTAAAAAGTTACTTCAAAACGTGTATATCGTGTATATATCTACTATGACAGATACGCATAAATACTGTACCGGGCTCAACAGATCTTGGGGCTTTAAGGCCCAATTTCCCGCCCATTCGTGAAGTGGGCCAAACCTTCAATCCTAAACATTGACATCCCCCATGGGGCAACAGAATGAGTTTAATTTGATCAAGGACGGCACATATCCGAATCCGGGCTCTGTGTCCGGGGTTTCGGGTGTTTAACAAATCCCGCTCTTGTCGGGATTTCGGAGGCTACGAGAAATCTGTCGCAGTTTGCTAACAAATTTGGTATATGATGTGTTATCTGCAACCTGTTACGGTAGCAATCTTAAAGTTACTTGCTAAATGCTTCCGTGAAGTTGCCTAGCACGGTGAGTAACATGCCCACGAGCCCAGGTGTCGCAGCCTACGACTGAACAATAAAGCTTAACGGCTTCTGTGAGGTTAGAATAGTAAACTTTTTCAAGGAGAAGTGTGTTTCAAGATGTCTAGAATATCTCCAATGTTACGTATGCCAAACCAAGGATATGAAGCATAATGGAGCAAATTATCATCAAGCTCGGCTCACTATCTCCGAGTCGTTCAAATATCATCGGCCTCGGGTTTAATTTCTCAACGTGGTATTTATCCACACACCTAAAATAGCTAGGGATTGTCCAGTCGGAAATTACAGGAGTTTTTGCTGTCGTCAGCATGTCTCCGAGCAATAATACACTAGGTCGCAGAGCTTATAAGGTAGAGCAATGTCCCCATTTTTTATGCCAAGCGAAGGCTAAATGGAAACAGATTCGTCAAAAATGCTTATCTTGGCGACTATTTCCACGCTGCTATCATTTACTACAGCGCATCTTACTGTGCGGCATCAGGATCATGGCGTCGCTTGTGCGAATGTGCACATGATGCTCGCTAGGGGCACCACGGAGAGTTATCCTGGTCTTCTTGGCACCTTGACCGACAAGGTTTTGGATGCTGTTCCCGGTAGTGACTACGAAAACATTATTTACCCGGCGACTCAGGAGGGCTCGACTCCTAGCTATGGAGAAGGTATTAGAAATGGCACTGCTCAGTTGAAAAGATATGCAAGGGCTTGCCCAGAGTCAAAGATTGTCTTATTTGGTTATTCGCAGGTATGATGCAGTTGAACCAAATTTTGATGGCGTTCCATATATTTACTAATGGCGGATATAGGGCGCCATGGTGGTGAGCGATATGTTGGCTGGAAGCGGAGACAATGGCACCCTAGGGGCGCTTTCTCACCCAACTGTAGATTCCAGAACACTTGGCTCACACAGTGGGTTACTCTAACTCCATATAATATAGGGGAATTTACTAATTCGGACCAGTTACGGCAATTGTGCTTTACGGCGACCCACGTCATATGCCTAACCAGACATACAATGTCGGAGATGTGACAGCCACCGGTGTAAGTAAGCGAAATGGATATTTCCAGCTCACCGTAACTGATTGGAAGCTCGTCTAGAAATACCCACGAACTGATCAACAACTACTTGCCCTGTCCGCTTATGCAAACCGACTCCACGACTTCTGTGATGACAAAGACGGTGTCTGCGATGCAGCTGGAACAAACCTTTCAGCCCACATGGCCTATGCGACAATTTGGGATAACACTGCAGCGTCATGGGTAGTCAACATGCTTGAGAAATAGGACTGACTTGACCTAGCATGTCTACATAGCAGGAAGATTAGGCATCGTTTCATGACTCTGGGATTTTTGCTTGGTCGAATGCTGATTGGTGCCAACAAGGCTTGGTTCGGGTCATTGGACATTGAGGGACAGGAACAGAAAGGCGGGGGGGTGGAAGAGAAAAAGAAAATCAATAAGCAGGATAAGGTCATCCGCCATTTTATCCCCGGCTATCAATCAATCTTCTCCCATACACCAACATCTTGTTTTCCTAGAGCAGCACTATTTCATTTCGTCGATCCGGCCAACGTTCCATGCCAAAGCATTTAGGCTCGGCAAAACCAATGGAGTCTACTTTAAGCCATCATGGGATCCCGAATTTCATAAGCCATAGACGGCAAACCAGAGGGTCTATTTCTGCCAGACATGCGCCATCTCCGCTCGAATCATTGCCATCAAAACGACCTATCACCATTAACTATCAGTAATGCCTCTCACATCCAACAAACATTGGACATACCAAGGTCAGGTCTACCCCTTGAGCCACCCGAACCCGAAAGACCGTGATATCCCGATCCCGCACAAACCGCTTCTTGATATTGTTCGAATGGGCCGAGATCTCCGCAATCGTCACATTGTCAATGTTAACATAGTTCGTTATCCCCATTGCATCACGCGGTCGCATCTCGACCAGCGCACCGGAGCTCAGTATTTTCCCGTCAATGGCCGTGTGTTGCGAGGTGAAGAATTTCTTATGACAAAGCTCGGCGATCTTGCTGCCACTCGCGTCTTCTACAGTCCACCCCATCTTACGGCGTAGGTCAAACACTGGCCGGCCCGAAGCATCCTTCAAAGGTCGTCTCAGAGTCATCGAGCTGTAGCCCCCCGGACCTTCGACAGAAAAGAGCTTCTCGCCGTCATCACGCGCGATCGTTATATCTTGGAGATGGCGGTCGTGAACCCTTACCCAAATGACAGATTCATTCTCGGTCGTATAGCCTTCGGTTAGGTAGACTGGTGAAGGTGGAGGTTGAAGGTCTGCATCCATTGCAGCCGCTTGTAACTGCCAAGAGGAAGAGAACCAGGTAGTTATTTGTTGTGACAAGGTATCAATAATTGAGAAGCGACAGGGCAAGGGGGAGTGGGGACAAATAGGATGAGAGAATGAGAGAAACAGGAGGGTAGCGTGTCGATGCACTGATGACAAGATGCTGCAAACTCCACCCTCTCAAAGTGGTGTATGTGCAGTGATGCAGAGGGTATTCTGAGGCTGAATATACGCCAAAGGAAGCTCGGTAGTTGAGATGTGGCAGCGGAATAGCCATGAAGAAAGGCGGACATGGTGTTCGGGAGGTTGGTTAATCCGCACGAAACTTGGGGGCCGAGAATATCATGGAACTAAGAACAGATTGTGGGGTCCAGCTGCCAGTAAACGTCGCATGTTCTGTCCCTGAGTGGTTGGTCCCTGAACGATTCATGAACAGTTGTCATTGATTGCCGATCTTGGGCTATTTTGCTTGGCGTAATATAGATGTGGATCAAGTTTTCCACATAAAGTGGACCAAGCTCTTCATGGGGGCTAGAGGTAAGGATGGGGGCCAATATTATATTAGTCAGGTCTTCTATAGGGGTTAATAATGTTAGTGACATGACATCCATCTTTTACAGTACCACAACAGGAAGCCTAGGAGTATTTAAGTTGAAATATAAATGTTTAGCTCACTACCGACAAAAACATTCCTTTTATAGACCAGAGACAACATATATATATACAACGGAGATTTTTGATGAGTCACGAAATATTCCTATTATAGTACTAAAGATATTTATGTTGACTGTGATGATTTTCCGTATCTTTGAACTCTGCCCTGCGTTTGATCATTGGTAATTATTTTCACTCCACGTCAAGGAGATATACCGCCACAGAATACTGAGGGCATTGCCAAATATAACCAAAAGGGATCGTGAGTTTCATCATTTTATGAGACTGCTCTCGCATGATCTAATCCTACTCAGTAATTTAATGATAGGTATGATTAATACCTCAGTTTTGTTAACAGAAAGTACGGGGGCTAGTATCGTACACGGGATATCGTTCGTCCTGAGAGAATGGGAAGCCTAATACTATCATCATAGTATGGACGCAAAGGTCAAGTCCAATCTGAATCAACGATCCCTATTCATAAAATCTTATCTAGATACAAAAAGAGGTTGTGGATAAGCTCAGTATTCATGGTGAACGGTGAGTGCCTGGGAGATATTTTATCGTTTCTATATGACCCAATACACTATCGAGTGCAAGTCCAGAAAGCCCATGGTAGAGCACTGGGGCTGCGAAATTTCTTGTCAAGCTACTAGCATTTCTTCCCCATGAAGCCTTATAGGAGCATTGGCCAATACATCAGCTTTTGGGTGGTTAGGTGTTCGCCTCGGTCGTTCGCCTATAACTTGACCATTTCCTTTATTGTGTTTGAGCTTTCGCGCGCAGCCCACGCTCTGATAGACGAGCAGCGTGGTGGCCCTGGTTGGTATTTGAAAATTTATTGATTTCTCTTCAACTTCCTTGGTTGTATGGGCAGTCTTTGGAGTTCCGAAGCATGAGGTCATTTTGTATCGCATATATATATATAGGGTACTTATAGTGTGAAAGTCTCAATTACTGAATGAACTATGCTCCAATTACTTTCTAACCTAATATTTAGGATGTTCCAATATTCAGTACCTCGGATAGGTAGATCGTCAGACAGGTTTGGGGGTTCTTTTGGAGGTAGTGATATACCTCCATGCCAAGACCACGGCCGTGGAGAACAATTGGAGATGTTTGAATATTACAGGTTCCAGCTGACCAATATGGATTGGAGATGGATCATGTACTCATCCCCATAGAAAATATTGGTTTGCAATATAAATAAGCATCACCTTGTCGCACAAGCCATTAGTTGACGAGGTTGGAATTTTTGCCATTTTTTTAATTCGACGCATCATCGTAAGCATGACAAGGCTCTTTGAACCACTCAAAATCGGAGATATGTCTCTACAGCACCGGATCGTAATGGCCCCTCTCACGCGCTTCCGCGCGGATGACAATCATGTCCAGTTGCCCATGGCCGTGGAGTATTACTGCCAGCGAGCATCTGTTCCCGGCACACTCCTCATTGCCGAATCCTCGCTCATATCCCCTACCCACGGTGGGGTTCCCAATGCACCTGGAGTGTGGAACGATGCACAGATCTCAGGCTGGAAAAACGTGGTGGACGCAGTCCATGCACGTGGATGCTACATTGTTTGCCAATTGCTTGCCCCAGGTCGCGCTGCAGATGCGACTACTTTGCAGAATGAAGGGGGCTACGGTATTTTGTCATCTAGCCCCATCCCATTGACAGAGGCTTTTCCTGCTCCCAAGTCAATGTCAGAGGACCAAATTCAAGGTGCTATTGAAGATTTCGCCACTGCAGCCAAAAACGCCATTCGCGCGGGCTTTGATGGTGTTGAAGTCCACGGTGCTAATGGGTACCTTGTCGATCAATTCCTTCAGGACTCTTGCAATAGGCGAACAGACCAATGGGGTGGTAGCGTCCAGAACCGGGCACGATTTGGAATCCAAGTTGCAACGGCTATTGTGAATGCTATCGGGGCAGATAAAGTCGGCTACAGAATTAGCCCCTGGAGCAGCTTCCAGGGTATGGGAATGGCGGATCCTATTCCCCAATTCTCTTACCTGATTGAGGAGCTGAAGGGTCTCAAGCTCGGATATCTTCATGTTATTGAATCTCGAGTGAACAACAGCGTGGATGTTGAAAAGACGGAGGGTATTGAGTTTGCATTGGATATCTGGGGCCAGACATCGCCTGTTTTGGTCGCTGGCGGATTTGATGCGCATTCCGCAAAAAATGCAGTTGACAGTGAATATCGAAACAACGATGTCGCAGTTGTGTTTGGGAGACACTTCCTCGCCAACCCAGATCTACCATTCCGCATCCAGCACGGTCTCGATTTGAATAAGTATCACCGGCCAAGCTTCTACACACCAATGACTCGCACTGGATACACCGATTATCCTTTCAGCGCCGGTTATCTCGCCAGAAACAATGTCTAGTCATTTTCATCAGAAAGTCTTGTTCGTATTTACCGTTATGTGAAGTAATGTGAAAATAGAATATCAATCGAGCACAAGCAAGACTCTTGCAGTCGGGTTAGATCTAATGGCAGCCGATTCTCACTACATCAAACTCGAGTATTGCAATGCTGAACCAAGGGGATTGGTAAATGGCTACTAAGCATGCCCACGGAAAACTCGCGACCTAAGCAGAATACCTCCCAGATTTAAATAAACTAATCTTCCACTGTTCGGTAAATGGACAGAATATTCCCAACCGAAAATTCGGGGTGGCAGTGCCGAGGTGGGGCTTATGTCTTACCTTGATATATCGATGTCCAATGACTACGGTATATCCATCAATTTATATACAGTCACACGTCATTAAAATGGAAGGATCGGCGGAGAGAAAACCCTTCCAAATCATAAATTTAACAAAACAGTGAAGGATCGTGGTATTGTGGATTATGTTAGGTCTTATTTTTGTATTATACCATCTTTTTCTAGAAGAGCTTTAAATCGGTAGAACCTTCGATTAAGAGGCGGAATAAAAGAGGAAACTAATATAACAGAAGTGGTCACATAGACGGTACGCCTAAAATAGCACCTGGGCACTTTGTAAACCGAGGTCTGTAATATAGAACGATACCCAGATATTAGCCTAATTAGATCGTCCTAGAGCTTTTCAATAACTATGGTATCATCTAGGCAATTCAATCCTGGAGCGTAAATTGGTCCAAATTACGGAGTACAAAGGTTTATAAAAAGGTTGGGTCCATTTTAATGAGGCGTGACTGCACTCGGAACCCACTATGGTCTTAAATCTACCAGCTCTTGTAAAATGGATAGAAGAGTCTAATGAAAGATCCACTGTTGTTTATATGGTATGACATCTTACATGGCATCTTACAATGCCCCATTAAATAGGCAAATATCAGTTGAGGCCGAACGTTGTCACAATACAGAAAATCCAGTTTAGCTAAACAGTTCAACTTGGATAACGACCTTACCAAAGTGACTTCTACTCTCCATAAGTCGTATTTGGCTTCATCGAACGTGCACACTCGATTGAAAATAGGGTGGATCTTGTGCTCCAGCCTCCAGCTACGGAGTAGAATGTCATCATATGTTCAAAACAGTCAGTAAACCCGTTGATAATACCCTTTTTGGCGAGTGAGTGTCTTGCTCAGGGGAAGTAGGTCCACATTATGTTGGTCACTAGCAATAGTACGCAGTATAACCAATGCAATTGATAAGAGCGCGCATGCAGCACACTCAAAGCTCTTGGTAATAGGGTCAGCGCCGCCATTTTCTAGAATAATATGCGCACCATGGCCCTTAGTCACACCCATCACACAACTACTTCTGCCAATCCTAGTTCTTACGGTAGTAGAAAACGAACTTTGCACCGAGCTTCCTAGCCTACTCTAGCTTTTCACCGGATGAGGAATGATCACTAGTGCTAGTCGGCTAATGTTTATTGATTTCCCATTGTCCATCCTAAAGCATCCTTTGTGAGCCGAATGGCTGTGAACTGTACAAAATCCCTGAACTAATAAGAATCTCCGGCTCCACAAATTTGACTAAATTCATCTTGAGTCGTATCCCGTCGTTTTACTCTGATCCCTTGACTGAAAACGAACTTAAAGCCTCGCCAAAGCTTATTATGGCGCCATCATTGAGATTGCTAATGCTGGAATTGAATACTGATTCCAAGGACACTTTGTCTTTTCTCAGATGGTTTACACACCACGTTACCGAGAGTGGAACTGCTATCATAGTTGGATCTATGAATCTTTACATTAAAGCGTAGCACACCGTAAACAGGTTGGTCTTTAATTTCGATAAGAGGGCAATAAAGTAGCTTAGGCCGTTTAAGCATGCAAGGCTAAGGGGGTGGCTGTAGAATACGGTGTACCCGGAGCATACAAGAACATTATGTTATATTTATTAGCTCTTACCTAGTATATGTAGTCACAAAAGGTAAATAAATGACAATTTATATAGAAAGGATAACGGATAATTCATTTATGCAAAGCTTATTTGTGGCCCCAGTTTCGGTGAATATGGACCGCGGATCATAATGTGCCGAAAGTGAAAAATTGGGTACTCAATATCATCATCGGTACAACTGCCTAGTATAGACCTAGAGTGTTGAAATTCAACATATTATCTACTCTCATTAATTTTTGTCACAGTTATCAGATTTCACGTGATGGAATAGTCCCAACATACGGTTATAGTTTACGGAATACTCTAGACCAAAACTCGGTGTGTGTCCGAGAGGGACCATTTTCGTTCTCCTTAGTGCACTGTTCCTGCATGGGAAAACCACACCAAACCACACCAAACCACACCTTCGTGCTTTACTTTCGTGAACAGCGTATATAGTAGAAGTCACGTCATGCTGCCTTCCTGATACGACCCAAGTCATCTTCGGTGGCATGTTAATCAATTCATGAATAAGGGTTTAAACTACTGTAGAAATACGTCGCACCTCGTTTTGGTTCCTCGCTTTGGTACGCACTACGAATACGATAAATCCAGTTGTAGTTCCGCTCTTTATAATACAAATATATTAAAATTCCGCTTTTAATATAGAACTACATTAAATCCTATTTTAATTACTCTCTTCGTAGTGCGGATAGGTTACGTTCTTTCTTCTAATACGGGAAGTATTTCTCCGTATAGATATGTGTATACAAATCTTTTAATGGAACTGCTCTATTTAGATTTAAGCATATTGTTTCCTATTTAAAAAGGATGGGACCGACCACGCAAGCCGGCACGCCTCGTCAGGGGTGGTCCTGATTCCTGGAGAAATTACTCCGTACGGAGTAAATAAGGTCAAAGTACTCCGTATTTAACGTTAATAGGCCGGGAAAAGGAAAAGTGGATAACCATACCATCGATCTAATTGAAACACTATTAAATGAAGCACTCGCGGCTCTACTCTTTTCCTTAGGGTTGCTTTCGTGCCAGTGTTTCGCACATGGGCGTTACTGCCGATCCCCTTCCGAAAGCAACGATAGTCATAGACCGATCGGCGGTGGCATCTCCACCGGGACCACCGGGATCCTCTCATTCACACTGGCTTCCGAAACAACCACTCTCACCACATCCACTCTCATTTCAGCCGGGGATTATCCGAGTAGAGGATCTAAGGGGAAGGAGGCATTGAATTGGCGGAACATTGAAACACATCTCATAACCTAAAATCGCAGTTATATAAGTAACATCATTCGTCCTTCTTCCATCCATTCCCTCTCTAATCCATTCTCTCTTTGCCTTTCTTTTGTGCGCTTCATAATTTTGTTTGCTTTTTGTTTACCGTCACTCTTTTATATACTACCTATATCAACTTCGAAAATGAAGTACGCATTTGTTCTCACGGCCATTGCCGCTATTGCCTCCAAGGTCGCCGCTGTTGGTGTCTCTGGCACTCCTGAGGGTTTCGCTTCTTCCGCCACTGGTGGCGGCAATGCTACCCCTGTCTACCCCACCTCCACCGATGAGCTGGTCTCTTACCTCGGTGATGACGAGGCCCGTGTGATTGTTCTGAGCAAGACGTGAGTAGAGAGCTCCTACCGTGGATGCATGGCCGCTAACAATGGCGGAATATTAGTTTCGACTTCACCGATACTGAGGGTAGCACCACCACTTCCGGTTGTACTCCTTGGGGTACTGGCTCCGCCTGCCAGGTTGCCATCAACAAGGATGACTGGTGCACCAACTACGAGCCTGATGCCGCTACCACTACCGTCACCTAGTTAGTATCCCATCACCCGGGCTATAATCGTCATCCCCTCGATGCTGACACTTCTCTAAGCAAAAACGCCGGTATGCTCGGTATCACCGTTGGCTCCAACAAGTCCTTGATTGGTGAGGGCACCACCGGTGTCATCAAGGGTCGTGGTCTGCGCATCGTCAACGGTGTCAAGAACGTCATCGTCCAGTATGTTCAATCCCCGTGTCGGTCTTAAGCGTAAAAGCATCGTTGGAATACACGCTAATCGGCTTACCATAGGAACATCGCTGTCACAGACATTAACCCTCAGTACGTCTGGGGTGGTGATGCTATCACCATCAACCAGGCTGACCTGGTCTGGCTCGACCACATTACCGTGCGTTGCTCCCACAGAACATCCCAACAATTTGCATAGACTGACTTGTCTCATCTAGACTGCTCGCATTGGTCGTCAGCACTACGTCCTGGGTACTGAGGCTGACAACCGTGTTTCTATCACCAACAACTACATCAACGGTGAATCCGACTACTCTGCCACCTGCGACGGCCACCACTACTGGAACGTGTACCTTGATGGCTCCAGTGACAAGGTTACCTTCAAGGGCAACTACCTCTACAAGACCAGTGGCCGTGCCCCTAAGGTCCAGGATAACACCTACCTTCACGCTGTCAACAACTACTGGGACGAGAACTCCGGCCACGCCTTCGAGATTGGCACTGGTGGCTACGTTCTTGCGGAGGGTAACTACTTCTCTAACGTGAACGAGGTTCTCGAGTCATCCTCCTTCCAGGGTGCCCTCTTCTCCGCCGACACCGACTCCAGCACCTGCTCCGCCTCTATCGGTCGCTCCTGTGTCGCTAACGTCAACGGAGGCACCCTGACCGGCACTTCCGCTGACGTTCTGTCGGTCTTCAAGGGCGAGACTCTCCCCACTGCCGCCGTTGCTAGCACTGACCCCGCTGGCAGCGCCGGCCAGGGTAACCTGTAAATAGTGTTGTGCGTTTGAGTTTGGGATTCCTCGAAATTCCTTGTGGCACAATCGCGGCAACTGCTTCGCTACGCCATAGTTTTCGGAGGAAGAAACAAGGAAGAGAGCTCAATACGAATGTATTGGAACTATCTGAATTACTGACTCCGGGGAAAAGAGGAGAGGAAATGATATAACTACAACAACAGTCCTGGGACAAACGGGGTGTGATCGCTCACACCACGTACACCTAGGACCAACAGTCTTAGTGTATTCCTATCTCAGCCAAATCAATGATATTTATACCAGATATACTTTCGTCGTTCGAGACCTGGGTAAATGTTGAAGATGCTAGGATGATCCTTGATTACAGCAGCTTTGGGGGGTCAAATGAGAAATTCCTACTTAAAATACTCCATTTTTGACATTGTATCAACATATACAGTCTCAAGGAATGTCCAAAGAAACAGACGAACACCTAATCCCTGAACAAAACCATTGAGAACATCGCAGTATACTCAGGCGCATCTAAACAACAGTGGCATGTCGGGGTACTATCCACTTCACAATTAGAACTATAGCAATATTGAAATGACTGGCGTATAATGGTTTATTTTGGTCATTAACTTTTGTTGGTCCCCACCAACCTGTAACTTCAAATAAAATCTAAATCGCGTGCCACGTATATCACGTTTCATATTAAACCTAAGACCCGGGTGCTTCTCGGGGTTTTATGCCGAGGCACAGTTTCAAAAAGGTCAACGAGATAAATCATTTCTCCATGCTCAGTGTCTAAGGAACATCAACAATTTTTTTCACGTTTTGATGTAAAGTTTAATATCAAACTCCCATTTAAGGGCAGCGATGAGGCTAAGATAATCCTAGTTTGTTTGTGCAGATATCAATCGCAGTCTCTACAGCCTGGTCATGTTTGAGGTGGGCGTGAGACAGACAAGGGTGATGGATTTCGGTGATCTGGATCATACCAAAGATCCCCACCGGAAGACATATACATACACACACACATATATATATACATATATATATATATGTATGTGTGTTCACATGCCGTTTGGTCCTAGTAGTCTAACGGAGCTTCCACTTTTAGTAACAATACGGTCCTGGTATAGTTCACCGTGCCAAGAAGCGCCAAAAGGGTCTTGGCGAGGTCTACGGCGGAGTTAAGAACTACAGGCCCGCTCCCGCCCACTATTTTCTTCTTTCCGATGTAGGTCTTGGCGTAGGTCGTTGTTTTTCAGCACCCCAGGAGGTATGACCATAAGTGGAATCTTCGTATTCAATCAAACATAAGCATCTATGGTTGCCACCAGCTTCGGCCTCTCTCCACAGTTTCCCCGCATATTTTCCCCAGTTCACTAACAGTCACCAAACCTTAATGAGTAGTCCAACCTATCAAATCGGATCATCCACTCATATATACCAAGCCACTTATGTGGCCCCTTCACGCCACCTACGAATTGTCTCAGCCCAATGGATTAGCCAAGAGTCAAGATGGTCGAGATGGATATACTCAGTTACTAACTGCGCAGTATTTGTCCTCGAAGGTCACTTTTTCCTATATTAACCCTACTTCCTGCTTCTCCTGTTCATACCACACAATAGCCAGGTCATTCTCCGGAGCCTCTTGCCCTCTTGCTCCGCTAAACCCTCTATTATTTCCTCTTCTCCATGATAATCCCGCTCCTCCTCGCGATTAGGCATTGTTAAGCGTGTTTCCAGCAGTGGTTGGCACGCTTTTCTGGGCCGCCGAAGCTGCAGTGGCAGTTGCAACGGTGAGACCGGCGAAGTTGGAGAAGAACTTGGTATCCGCATTCGTAAAAGCACTGCTGTCAACCACAATATTCGTCTCGCAGTCCCTCTTCAGGGCGGCGGAGCATGCTTTGTTTGCAGTAGCATCCGGCGAGCTAAAGAGTTGACCGACGAAATCCCCGACAATTTGGGTGACATTGTTGAAGACACAGCCTTCAAAGAGACCTTGGCCATCGTCGGTGCCCTCAATGGCGTGGCCGCTGTTATTCTCCCACACGCTGTTGACGGCATGGAAGAGAGTCTTGCCGCTCAGTGCAGGGCTGCGGCCCGATGTGCGGTATACGTAGTTGTCTAGAGGACAGATGTTAGTGTCTCCTGGGTTCGTCTATACTGGTATCAGAGAAGTGTGGTTCGAAACACGTACTTGCAAAGGTGATCTGGTCGTCGGCCCCGACAAGTTCCAATCCCCAGTATTGTTGTCCGTCACACGAAGTAGAGAAATTGGTTGCGCCGTTCATGAAGCTGTTGGAGATAGTAACATGAGAGTTCGCTTCTTGACCAAAGACGTAGTGTACACGGCCAGTGTATTGAGTCTAGTTACAACCACGTTAGCATTCAGTAGAGCTATTATCATGGAGAATTTGACTAACCGTGACATGGTCAACCCAGATCTTGGAAGTGTTAGAGAGTGTGATCGCATCACCACCCCAGACAAGCTGTGGGTTGAGGTTGGTGATCATGATGTTCTGAATAATGATGTTGGAGGCATCGACCATTCTCAACCCTTTGCCGAGGAGGACACCCTTGTTTCCGACTCCGATGATCGTCTTGTCCGAGTGAACACGGATTCCTTGAGTTCCAGCAGTATCCCACTCATACTGCTCGGACGGTTTACCATCGCATCCCTTTCCGATATCGATCGTGGACTGGCAACCATCTTCAAAGGCGCCATATGACTTGCAAATGGTTCCCTTCGTTGTCCCTTCCGTCCCGATGAAATTGAATGTCTTGTCGATAACGATGACCTGAGGATCATCAGAACCCAGAAGCTCGATCAGATTCTTGACATCGGTGGGATAAACTGGCGCGGCGTTTCCACCTCCGGTGACTCCGTATGCGAATCCTGGGGGCGAGCCAGTAACAGAGACCGTACCGGCCCTCTTGGCTGGGCTGTCTGCAACTGCAACAGCCGCGAAGAATAGAGCAAGGCTGAATTTCATGTTTACGGTAATGACAGAGAAAGTGTTTGGCAAAAATGGTTCACCTTGATAGAGTAAATATTTCAAGTTTACTAGGGGCAATGGCACCTCTTAAGCCTGGGGCCTGCGAAGATCGCTGTTGCCATTTATCGAGACATTGTCGAAGTTGTCTCACATGAGGCGATGTAAATTTTTATGTGAAACCAGGCCTCGCAGTATTTTTAAGTGGGGCTATGAGCTGATAATGCAATCGTACGCTATGTTCCTCGTGGGTTTAACATGTGCCTGGCATGTGCTGTCTACCTATGGATCTTTCGGGTTAAGATGAAACTACACCGCACTGACTATAACATATATGTACAAAACATGTCCTTATTAACCATATCCACAAATGATCTGTAAGAAGCAATACCATTCGTGTTGTCGTAAATTTAGCCTATTCTAAAGACACGAACACATCATCTGCATATATTTTAATCAATGCTTGCCCCACATATACTGGGGAAATTTCGGAAAATTGTTATAATAGTGGCCATTATAGGAGTGATCTACAGGGGAAAGAGACGATCTATACCCCGTATCTGCTAATATGGCGGCCTAGCGCCTTAATCTGAGACAAACCCAAGTGCGTTTGGTTCTCACTGTAACGGATAAAATCCCGGTGGAGCAAAGGAAAAAGAGAGATGAATACGGTTATATCGGCATCGACATATTTCACAAGCCTCCTCTAATCATCAACAGTAGTGAACTCCCCTACAACATGCCACCAAATACGTGTATCTTATTAGAGTAACTATATATTTCTACCAATCTCTGATATATTGAATGTATTTTGACTCCATCTTATCCACATTGCAAATTGACAATGAGAATTATACTAGTCTTCACGGTAAGAAGGGCTATAGTATTATGTGCGGGTGATCAAGAAACGAGTGAAACCTGCTCGCTAAACCCTGACTCGCGGGGCCACCCGGGGGAACACTGCGGGAAGAACCCACCCCGTAAAAGGGGGGACCTAAGCCCCTTGTTTCTAGCTAAGTGAATTAGGCGGCCACAATCGCTGACTTTCTTTCAGCACCTCGATCGACGTAGCTCATCTATGCCTGGGCTTTCTAGACTGAAAGCGTTCATGTTTGGGATCATGGATCTAGGCACTAGCACCCTTATGAAGCGTAATACCGAAGATGTGTACAGAAGTTAAAAGAAGGATTGAGGCCAAGAGAATACCATGGTAGTTACAGTGACTTGACGCCGGGGGTTGAGTATAACTCTCTCCGATCAATATAGTAGAAGACCGCGTGTTCCACAACAAGGGAAATTTCTGGCTATTTACTACAATAATAGAGAAGCTGTTCGATAAAACCTTTAAATTTGCTAACATTAATCAATTCTTAGAAGGCTCACCACCTCAAAGCGTGCTCCTAGTAATACGCCAGGAGAATCTATTGCCGCTGACCCGCTGGAAACGGGAAACAGGAACGGGAAGCCTAGACAGGTGTCACCTCATACTGAGACTAGCTTGTCCTCCTGCCGCCAGCACGTTTGTTATAACCCAAACTATTTCCAATATGACGCACTGCGGTTGGAACTGAAGTGAGAAATTTGATAGCCGTTCTGGCATCGCCTGAACTCAAGGCTTGTAAATAGTTCCTTGCATATCTATTTTCAATGAGTCCCCAATTTCCGTCCGCTATCAGTGCTATAGAAGTTCATGGTTCCCAGGGGCCCCGGGCTCGAGTTCCTGTGAGAAGCTGGGGGGTTCCGTCCCCCTGAACAAGAAGCACATCTTCATGTCTCACCCCGAATTTATCCACCAAATAGATTCCAGGCTCCGACGTGAAAGCCATGCCGGTCTTTAACAAGCTCGCTGTATTCCCCTGGTTCATGTACGGGCTTTCATGGGCTGTTTAAAGTCGTCAGTCTAGTAAACATGAATGGCAGGGTTGAATAAAACGGGACCTTTAATCCCAATACCATGTCCCACGCGATGCGTAAAGGCATCCCCATATCCAGCCTGGCTGATCACGTCGCGTGCAGCAATATCTACACTGGCCGCTGTCATATTCTCGCGCATTTGATCAATTGAGCGAGTTTGCGCCTCGAAAACAATATCCCAAACCTTTACCCAATCAAGTCAATGATCTGCATACAATATGGAAACACGATGGCCTACCTTCAGCTTCTCACTCATGCGTGGTGAAAGGACATTGTCTTTGGAAGGCTTCTGCAAGAACGGAGGGAAGAAAGTGCGGCAAATATCCGACGAGTATCCATAGAGATGCGCACTGTCGTAGCGTTAGGTGGCAAAATTTATGATGGTTTCCAGGAATACAAACCCGACATCGATCAAGACAAAGGTCTCGGCTTCCAAAACTTTAGACCCATTGGTTCCACCATGCGGGTTAGATGCATTCTCATCAAAAAGCACGATGTCGAAAAATGGATCCAACCCGGCGGCTCGAAGAGCATCGTCGAGGGCAGCAGCTATTTCATTTTCAGTCAATCCTGGGTAGAGACATTTTCTCATCTGTCGCACCGCCTCGACGGTTCCGGTATTGACTGCGCGTAGAATTTCAACCTCTCGAGCGGTTTTGATCTGTCGAACTTCCTCAACCTGGCCCTGTAGACCGACTATTTCAAATCCCGCAGCTCCAAGTCCACGCTGAATGAAGTCTCGCATTTCTTCATCCACCATCAGGCGTGCTGGCCGATGGAGGGGCAAGAATACATCTGATTGCCAGAGAGTAGTGTACGGATCCCAGTGCTCCTCCCACAGAACGATTGAGATTTCCTCGGAAAACGGCATTCCAAGTAGACGGGCACGTTCGGCCTCAAAAGACGGACAGAGGAAGGTGGTGTTAGCCTTGATGTTGCCCGTGGCCTCATCGTGGAATGGGTGTATCACCATCAGAAAAGGACGCTCTTCCGGCTATATTGGTGAGTTTAATTCGCCCATGAAGACCTTGAGGAGTTCCTTACCTCCCACACTTCCCACTCGGGCTGGCTCACGTTGCCATAGTACTTGAATGTATATCCCGGTTCCACCACAAATGCATCGGCTCCCTCGGCGACCAGTGCTTGCGCCAAGCGATCCCGTCGCTCTTCAAAGTCTGTAACTGCGATGGGCGCGACATTTTTCATGAATGGAAGGCCCGTTTCGAGAAGATTGTTGATTGCACATTGTTGGAAGGTTTTCACGCGGGCGGGGTTGTCCGCGTCATTCCATGCACTTTGATCCGACGCGAGAAGCTTTTGGTCCCCGAGCGACCACGAACGGTGAGAAAAATTGTAACTCGTGGCCAACAGACCAGCACTGGCTATTACCAATGCCAGGTTGCGAGCCGAGAAGCGCTTATGGGGCTTAACCTCCACGGTGCTGAAGGGCAGCTGTTTCGACATGATGTGAGAAGTTGGATCATAGAAGGAGATTTGAAAATTCCCAGCTTGGGAAATAAAACCCCTTCGTGAACTCAGCCGTCTCCCTGAAGAGTGGGGGTTTTCTTATCTCGTCTTGACCTTCCTACTTTCGCATTTGCTTCCCCGCCTCTCGTTAGCGCCAAAGTCCAAGCTCCGTTGCGTTAGTTTCAACGTCGGCAGTTGCCTCGGTGCCCCTTTACTGGTCCAGTCGATTACAACTATCTGCAACTATCTGCAACTATCTCGGACAAATCAAGCATTTCCCGTTGCGGGGATGTGTTATAAAATGCGAGCGGTGTCCGAATCTGCTAGCTGCAATCTGCAGTACCCGCATCATGAGCGAGCCTACGGTAGTCGAGACACGTGAAACGTGTAAAAATAATCCAGTATCAAAAGAACTGGACGTTCAAACGGGGACCTCGCTTTCACTTTCCCCGGATGCAACTAAACAAGATGCGACGGATGACCCCTACAACGGTCGAGGCTACTCACGCCTCTCCATGGTCATGATGGTAGTCTTCAGTGGCCTCGCAATTGGTTCAGATGGCTTCAACGCTTCGATCATTGGAAATCTGGAATTGATCATGGCAGTCATTTATCCGGAGTCGCTGACGACGGCTGTAGCCGCTCGGCTGTCCAACGCATTCATGGTTGGCATGATTATCGGCATGCTCTCGTTTGGTTACATCTCCGATAAACTAGGCCGCAAAAGTGGCGCTGTTTTAACAACCACAATTTTGGTTCTGGGAATTGCGCTGAGTGCCGGTGCCAGTGGGTTGACCGAGGATGGCATGTTTTGGATGCTAATTGTAGCTCGAGGAATCGCAGGTGTTGGGGCGGGCGGGTGAGTGACCTTTCCTTGCTGTCTGATACTCAACGTAGTCCGCTGACCGGACGTTATTAGAGAGTACCCCGTTGCAGGAGCAGGTGCTGCTGAAGCCACAGATGAAGCTCCGGGAATTCGTAAGCGAAGAGGCTTTATTTTCGCAATGATTGCTGATCTATCTGCTTCTCTTGGCTTTGCCTTCGGTGCTCTGGTGCCACTCTTGTTGCTTTTGTGTTTCCATCAAAAAGTTCAACATTATGAAGCTGTTTGGAGAGTCTCCTTGGCTATGGGAGCCATCGCCCCTCTTTCAATTTTCTGGTTCCGTTATCGGATGGTTGTCAGTTCTGCATATCGCAAGAGCTCCATGAAAAAGCAGAGACTACCCTATTGGCTAGCGATCAAGAAGTATTGGCGGCCGTTGGTGGGCGTTTGTGGTTCGTGGTTCATGTGAGCACCTCGACCCCGTGAAATTTTATTGCTGTGACTAATAGCACCGACTACATCAGTTACAACTACATCTCCTATCCTTTCGGCCTGTTTTCATCCACCATCGTCGGTCGAGTCAATCCATCCTCGTCCTTGGCCCTCACAATGGCCTGGGGGACATTGATAAATTGTTTTTATATTCCCGGTGCATTCATCGGTGGCTTCCTCTCAGATCGTATTGGCCGCCGCCGAACCATGGCCCTCGGGTTCCTCCTCCAGGCCATTCTTGGGTTCATCTTAGGAGGAGCATTAGGCCCGATCCAGACAAATCTGCCGTTGTTTATCGTGCTCTACGGCATATTCCTTACTCTTGGAGAGGTCGGCCCAGGTTCCACAATTGTTCTCACTGCCAGTGAAAGCTTTCCCACGTCAGTCCGCGGTCATGCAGTCGGATTTGCTGCTGCTTGGAGTAAGGCCGGGGCTGCAATTGGAACTCAAGTCTTTAAGCCGATCATGGCTAGTTGGGGCGATGATGACCTTCATGGAACTCAAGCTGTCTTTCTCATCGGATCAGGGTTTGCTATTCTCGGAGCTTGCTTGGCCTGGTTTGTGCTCCAGGACAGCAATAAAATCCTCGATCATGGTGACCAAGAGTGGAAGGACTATCTGGTCGCTCATGGTTATACAAACATTGAGTGGGGCTCTGAAGAACAAACGCCTATACCGGACCAAAAATTGGCTGACTAGAGCCTCGAATTTATACAATTCATGCGAGATTGGAAGGATAAGGGATGCAGAGCAAGTTCTGGTGGACACTGGTTGCGTTCATTTTATTCAAAGTCGATCGCATATGTCTAATCTAGTTAACCCCCATGCACATGTCTTATTTGCCTTGGATTTTCAAATGTTCCGTCCTTCGTGGACTTTCTATGTAGTGCAAGTACCTACATACATACATGGGTAGCGAATTATTACCTCCATGGATATATATTTAGATGGATAACTGTAGAGTGAAGTTACCCGATAGAGGTTAGCGCTTCAGGCTTCAGTCCGCAAAAGTTTTCGCCCCAAAGCGGTCGCTAGTTGCAACTTCTATAGAACTACACGTCATAGCCATTTGCTATACTTGTCTCAATCCACCACCCACAACTTCTTTCTTAATAACGCCTTCTCATCCGCGTGGAATTTCTGGAGATTCTGTGACTTCCTACGATACTGAACTTTCCACCGAAGCTCGGTTCGCCAGACCCACAGAAGAAATGGCGGCAATTACAGAGACCCCAACAAAGGATGAAGACATACTAAGACAGACACTGGGTGTGCATTCCATTGTATCTACTTCTATATTAACAGAGAGTATACAACGAGCAAAATTTCTTCAGGATCCTACACGTGTTGTGATCGGTCGAGGAACATGCGGCACGGTCTTTGAGATTCCTGGAACAGAGTCTGCGTACAAAAAAGGCCGTGACAAAGACTCGCTTTGGAACGATGCAAATTTGACCAATACTGCCTGCCGTGCAGTGACAGAGACCAAAACTTGTCTTCAGGAAATATTTTCGAACACCTCAATCCCTCGTGTGCCTATAGTTACTGGATGGATCAGTGAGAATGACATACAAAACTGGTGGCGAGAGAACTTATCACAATTTCCCGATGATACTGAAATTGGATATCTTTTCCAAGTCCAAAGGATTTTGCCACTTCCGAAGCCCTGCCGTGAAGCTCTCATACGCCTTTATTTTCCGAACAAAATGCACAATTCTGCGTACGAAGACCCAGATAATAAAGCATGTCTTATACGACCATACCTTGGACAGCGAAGAGGAGAGTGGGAATTTTCTCGTCCAGCACTCAGCCTTCAGAACTTTCCTCTCTATCTCGATCAGATAGAGGAACTCCAGTTAGAAGCGGTCCAATTTTCTGAAGAGATGGCTATTGGGCTGGCCATCATCCACTGGAAGGCTCACTTGGACGGCATGGATATGGAATTCGTTCTCGGTAGCGCGACAACGCATGGAGAACTTCCGACCGTGGTTGAGAACTTTAAAACAGTCAAGCCATTTGATATCCCGGTTGGAGATTTTAGAAGACGACAAGTGCATCTCTGGATACTCGATTTCGATAAGGCCGACCAGCTTAGCCTAAAGGAGAGCTGGAAGTCCTGCTGCGAGAAGATGGTCACTGCTGTAACAGCGAACGACCCCTATTTCCCTAACCCAGCAGCCATGGGGACTCTCGAACACAAGTTATGGGATACATTTGAGCGCGCCTATCTTCTTGCTGCGTCTAATATTCTGCTTACACAGAAGTGGTTACCAAAAAAAGCGACTGAATACCCTGCGCTATTTTTGAAAGCATGGAAGAAGAGAGCTACAGAACTGGCAAAAGACACAGAGGGTGATTTTGTAGAGTTCGGCTAAATGTGGCGTTTTCTATGGATGTTTTCTATGTATTTTCTGTTTTCTGCAGCCCACTTCGGGCTGCCTTCATTCCTTTCTGGGCGTTTTTTGAGAAGAGGTGCCAGGATGCAGGGGGATGCCGTTAACAATCTTTGTCTATAGATACTCTCTCGAAAGATTAGACTAAAGCTATAGTCCCGGGGTTTAACCTTACAAATTAAAGCCCCCTCTACTTGATACACTCTATAGCATGAAATTGGTTTTCGAACTGGCTGCAAAAAAAAGCAACGAAACAGGTGGGTCCAGGAACTATAGTTAGGGTGAATCCATGCTTATAGGCTTACCACTCGTTATTATGTTCTATGGATATCTACCGACACCTCCTAGCTATCGTTAGGACGTTAGCCCGTGCCTCTCAGCCCCACATTAACGGAATGTCTTACCGATGAAGCCTCCCAGTCGGAGGGACTAGCGAAATGAACTGCAAAAAAGTGAGCACCGAGTGTGGATCGAACACACGACAACCTGATTTGCAATCAGGCATTCTACCACTAAATTACCGATGCAAGCCTAAACCGCTGAGCTGTTGGGACTGATATTTTGGATCTGGGGTTTAATGCATTCATGGATAGAACTCAACTACAGCTAGCCCTAAATCGGAGCGGTAATAAAAACACACCACCCTGATTTATACACATGGGTATAAACCCTGTTAGCACAGTAATCTAAAACCCTTTAGATGAAGTCCTTGATAGCACCACATTTTCACTAGGTGTGCCAGTTTTTATTGTATAGTTATAGGGAAAACACGGCTTTCGCGGCCATATCCACTTCCATGAAACTATTACAAAATAACTTGATTTATCCAAAATTAGTGATAATTTAATTCTGAAAATAATATTTAAATTTTATATAATAGATAGTATCCAATTAATTAACTGTAATCGGTATATAATGCTAGTAATAGGTAAATTGTACGCAAGAGAGAGTCGAAACAATAGATTAGCAGGATACAGACTTGACACCAAGCTGTAGTATCCTAGCCTAGTCCTTTCATGGAAACATATGAACAAATTGAAATTTGCATTGACAGCTATTTGATAGACAAAATAATAAAACCCCACGCATGTAACTAGAATTAATGTATATGAGAGCTCATCTTAGCTTCACCCGAAGGCTACTAGTCACCGACAAGGGCCTGATAAAATATAGTATTGAATAGTCTGAACAATGAAGCTAAAGTCACCTGATAGATAGAGCCTAGTGAAACGGAGACCTGCTAGAGTAGATAGCTAAGGGGTGATGGGCACAATTCAGCAAGAAATGCCAATCCATTCCTTGGTAAGAGCAACGAACTGCAAGTCGTTGTTCGCGGCCTCGAAGAACAGTCCAAATTTGCCATCACCAATAGCAGTGATTGTGGAGTACGACATGGTAGCGGATCTGAAAACTTTGCCAGAGGACCAAGTATTTCCATCATCACAAGAGTAACGAATGGTACCATTCACGCGAGCGGACTTGCTATTGGCGTTGGTGAAAAGCAAGACCTTAGCCTCTGCAGAGCCCTGGGCAGCATCGGGATAGGCCCGAGTGATAGCACCATTATTCGCGGGGTCGGGGAGCTGAGTCTCCATGCGGGGGGTTCCGTAAGTCTCGCCACCATCATTAGAGAGCGTAATGATGCGGTGTTGACTTCCATCACCGGGGCGCGAGTTTACCATCAAGGTACCGTTTGACAACTCAACAACCTTGTTCTCATCCATGCCTTTGCCAATAGGCTTACCCATCTGCCATGTGTCTCCTCCATTGTCGCTGTAGACACTGTAGGCTTGGTTGGTGATCGAACCGTCGGATTGTACGACACTTCCGGTAAACTGCTGTACAAGGCGTCCAGCCTTAGACCCATATCGGAGCTGGATCCCCTCCCCAGATGCCGCAAACATAGCTTTAACACCGCCCACATTTGCGATTCCATTCACAGTACTACCATTAGGCTTGACTGCCTTAGTGATAAGTGGTGGAGCACCAATCGCACCAGCGGCAACAGGGGGAGGTTAGGCTGATTCGAAGGGTCCGTAGACCAGGTAAGTCCCTTATCGGTTGAAACCGAGACCTCAGAGCTAACAACGTTGCGATTGCTGTCATCATTTCCAAGGACGCCACCACGGAAGCCCTGGTCCTTAGAAAACACGTGAAAGTTGAAAACCTTTCCAGTCTCGCGGTCATAGATATAGCTAGGATCGCTAAAGCCGTACTGGAGGGCCGTAGAGTTCTTAATCTGGCCTTGGGCGATGAAGGTGGGCTCGCTCCAGGTCGCACCATTGTCCGTACTGCGGCGTTGCAGAATTGAGTTCGGAGACGGAGAATCCCCTCCATCGGGCCGGCCATCGTAGGATGCGAGGATAACATTGTTGCCTAAATAGGTCAACGCAACAATCCGATACTGGGCGATAGGTCCCACGCCCTTGGTGGCGAGATTAATCTCAGCCACCGCTTCTCTCGCCTCTAAGGGTACAACCGGGCTTGCTACAGACAGAGCTGTAAACAGACCAAGGGCACCCACGAAGGAGGCTTTCTTTATTTTGTGAAACATGTTGAACCTCCGCAACCGCAAGTGTAGGAAGGTAGGGAATCGAAGTAAAAGTTTGAAGCTATGATCTTAAAATTGAAATGCTGGCGAAGAATGATTATTTTATTTTTGTAGGAAGTGCATACAGGCTTATATACTTCGTGGGGATACATGGAACCTTCAAGCCAATAGTAAGTATATGAACGACGCAGTATCTGAGTTTATTGGATATAGGTCATATTACCCCGAAAACAGAGAAGCTGCATTTCGATTGAGCAGGATGTATTGAGATGTCCCGCGAAATAGAGAGGTCGGGGATTCGCCGGCATGATAGAGGATTGATTTGATAGGACCCATCTCGTATCTAATTCTGCAGATGTCATGGGCTTGGAAATAAATTAATCATTTTAGCTTTACCCCGGAATATCAGGCGAACTATCCTGATATCCGCTTATCCACATATCCACAGATAATGGAACTGAAAAGCGAATAGAGACTTTGGTTTCGATGGACGAAGTACGTCGGGTCGACGCATGCACCCCCTGGTTTCCCGAGCCGATCGCCTCGGCAGTGTAGATCCGATCGGCTGGGGGTAGACCAGGGGCAAATATCTTAATTGAGTGTCGGTTTACATCGAGAGATTTCCAAACACAAGTAACTTAATCAGCAGTCCATGTAAAATTGGTGAAAGCTTCAGAGGCTCACGGCTGGATTTTACGGTTTGCCTTGACACCTTCACTTGTAGTGTTTTTGGATAGTGATCTACATTAACTTACCATTTCCCCCGCATTTGCTATAATAACTGTTCGTGGAAATGAGGCTATTACGTACAAATTGCTCTCCGCTTCTTGTGTTTGTAGATATGACGACTTGCAAAAGGCCCGCAAATATCTGCCTATGATGGGTGGTGTGAGTTTCAACCCCCTGTCTCGCGATTGGATACACCAAGATTTGGCTCGGTCCTCGGCAATATAGCTTAAACAGAGGAGTCAGCGACAGCTTGCTTGCACTCGCATGTCTAATCTTGAATGGTTCTAATTTTTTGTATCTCCTCGCGTAAGTAGCGAAACCGATTGGTTGCGACTAATACTAATCATGTTAATCTTCGAACCTTGAGAAGCTTTCTCTCTCCGATAAGCTATACCAAAGCGTGGGAATGAAGTGAAATCTGTGAAAAATAATTATACGGTCCAATCAAACATGTCTGTGCTCTATCAGGCAACGGTCTAAAGGAAGTTTCCATGCTCGCTTCACGAGATCCCGGACCAGCCAGGATGGTGAACTAGCGTCATGGCCCACTCCGGGGAATGTAAACTTGGCTAAGCGGGGTACGCGGGAATCCAGGGAAGGGATTGGCTGTTTAATTAAGTTGGCCCAGATAGTATCAATATGTTATCGGGACATTGTGTTATCAGAACAGAGAGTAATTTGTGGGAATATAAGATTCGGGGCATTTCCTTAACAAAAATCTCACCATCCTACCATACCTCTCTCTTCCAATTTTTTTACATTCCACGACGACTAAGTCGCAGGTGGGCGATCGACCCTCACTATGGCAGACCAGAATATCAAACCCTTTACCGAAATGGATTCTCCAAAGGCAGATATTGAGGCATCATCTGCAAACGAAATCGTGGAAGGTGTAGTCATCACTGTCACCAAAGAAGAGGTACACCCCACCTGAACATTCCCCAACAGAAGAACATTGCTCACCATGGGACCACTGTTTATAGAATGATCGAATAAAGAGAAAGACCGATTTGGTCATCCTCCTAATCCTCATCTGGGTGTATTTCCTACAAGTGAGACACACCGAGTAATACCCAAGTGGTGTATTGCATATGATTCTCATTAACCGTCTATTAGATTTTGGATAAAGGTGTTTTGGGAACGGCAGCACTGTTCAATCTCCAGTCTGATATGGGTCTCGTGGGGAACCAGTATTCCCTCATTGGAACAATTGCTCCCGCCGCACAACTAGCATGGCAGCCATTCTCCGCATGGATCCTGGTCAATGTTCCCCCCCGTATTCTTATGCCAACCATGATTCTTGGATGGGGTATCGCTGTGGCATGCATGGCCGCCTGCAATAATTTCAAGACCTTTATCGCCGCTCGCTTTTTTATGGGTCTGTTTGAAGCCGGGTGTATGCCTCTCTTTACCATTCTTACCGGTAGATGGTACCGCCGTATTGAACAGCCGATTCGTATCGCCCTTTGGTACTCTGGTAATGGCACAGCTACTATGGTGGCTGCTTCTTTGGCTTATGGCCTTGGCCATATTCAATCTGATGTGTTGAAGCCGTGGCAGATGTAAGATAACCGAGATCGCTATTCTTTATGAACACCGCTAACCATCATATAGTATTTTCCTATTTGTTGGTCTTGTCACTATCGTCACCGCGCCCTTCATTTACTGGAAGCTTGACAACGACGTTACAACTGCCCGTTTCCTTACTGAACATGAGCGACGCCAGGCAGTGGAGCGTCTCCGTGCCAACCAGAATACGTCAACCTCCTACGAATTCAAGTGGTCACAGGCTCTTGAAGTTCTCCTAGAACCTAAGAGCTGGCTTTTCGTTACTATGGCCTTACTCCCGAACATGGGTTCGGCCTTGCCTAGTCTGTTCGGACCTCTTATCGTGACTGGTTTGGGTTTCGACAAGTATCAGGCTGCCCTACTAAACATTCCCTATGGAGCTATTACAACAATCGTGATCATTCTTAGCTGCTGGGCCTCCCACAAGGCGAAGCTCAAGTCTGCCGTTTTGGCTGCTTTTATGCTTCCTGTGGTGGTTGGAATCGCCCTTCTTTACGCGCTTCCCCATTCCGAAAAGAAAAACCAGGGACCACTGCTATTTGCATACTACCTGACTTCATGTATCTATGCCGCCAATCCTCTTCTTCTCTCTTGGGTTGTTGGAAATACTGCTGGTGCTGCCAAGATGTCAACTATGGTTGCACTTTACCAGGCCGGTACTTCCGCTGGTGCCCTTTCGGGGCCCCTTCTGTTCACCGCTGACCAGGCTCCCGGCTATCTTGCCGGTACCCGTGCTGTACTTGGTCTCTTCATTGCCTTGCTTGGCTGCGTGGGTCTTCAGTTCCTTAACCTTTGGTTCTTAAACAAGCAGCACAAGAAGCGCAGAATTGCCAACGGCAAGGCTAGTGATATCAGGGATACCTCTATGACCACTGAGGTTGGCATCGATAGTAAGATTCAGGGGGAACAAGGGGAGGGTATGCCCTTCAAGGACATCACGGACAAGGAAAACGATGAGTTTGTGTATATCTATTAATTTCAATACCTCTGAAACTCCCCATTACGGGAGCGCGCCATTGGTGTATCTCAAACGGCCCAATTCCTTCCATGTTTGATGTTGTTTTTAGGAATAAAGAAAATTGAAAATTTGATCTGGCAACTAGACATATTATATACCACGATTTCCCCCTTCAGCCTCTACAGACCACCGAGAAAACCTAAAATAGTGTTCTAGACTACCTAGAAACTCATGACTGTTACGCCGATAACAAAATGAGTATTTGTGTCTCAATCCTTTTTCACTAAACTGTATTAAATATATAAAGCTATGATTGCACCTCTCTAACCTGACATATAGCCCTCAAGCCTTATGATACGGAATACATCCAAGATCTCAACAGCTTGCAGAGAGAATAGGCAAAATCGTGGTGCACAGCTAGAGCCCCAAAGGCGAAATACGGCGGATCGGATGCGCTGCTATCGGGCCAAGAAGTCCTCATCAAGAAGCGAGTGGTACGTTTGCTGCTGGAATAGACACTAGTTGTGACCATCGGTGTAAACGAGGGTAATCTTTACGAAATATATCCTTGGTAAATCAATACTCGATGATCAATCATCAAGATAGGGTCTCATTTTTTGCTCTTTTCCACTAAACGCTCGATTGTATGATCGTGCTTCCTTCTTCAAATAACAGTAAGGATTTCTTCGTTACTAATTCATAGCAGTCACACGCCAAATCTTGGCCAACGGTCGGTTCTCCCCCCGAAAGTGAGTGATTGGTGGCTATAGTGTATAACCAATCGATCACCTCAGATGATGCAGCTGGGATAGAACAAACATATCTGCCTTTTACTCTTTAGGGCGTCTTGCTGATTATTTCTATATATATCCTTCAATATTACCGACCTAGGTTTCCTCAGTAATGATTTTTTAGATTAAGAAGCCGAGGAATCATATGGGGTCGGCTGTAGGGTTGAGTATATATATAGGAGAGAGCAAGACGGTAAAATAAACGGTAAGCGAATTGTATGGGTTGGCGCGATGGCGTCTAAGACCTGTGGTAGGATAGATACTCTCTGAAGATATTCACCAACTGTTTTACTCCCATTGATTTTTCAGGGATAAAAAATTGAAGTTATCATAAAAAAAAATAAAAAGATAAAAACGAAAAAAGAAAACTCCGATAGGGGGAATCGAACCCCCGGCTGCCGTGTGAGAGACGGCGATGTTAGCCACTACACCATATCGGATGTTGAATGAGAATTCATTCAGATTTAGCCTAGACTTACTTGGTTTAGCGCTCTTTGTCCGTGTGCCTCCCCGTGCGTTCTCTTCCACCTCAGATCATCGCATGATAGAGGAAAGGTGTCTTCCGAGCATAGATTTTCAAGAATAGTTACGCGCATCAGAGAGACTTTACTGGACGCGCTTTGCCAGCCACTTCACTTCCAGCCTCAACCAGTTCGCACAGAACCTAAGGTGACAACCCGTGCCTTGCTGATCACTCTGCACTAATGTCCAATAATATGAAACACTCGCAATTCTGGGATCTGCACACAGTCACTAGCTGATTTGTTGAAATGGTTCACTCGAAGACAATCAATACCACTTTCACGTTAATCCTGTTAAGTAAGGCACACGTAAGAGATTGGTTAGGCATAGATAGATCAAACCAAAAAAACACGACTAAACATATAACAGCGCGAATATGCCGCTTACTTATGAAGCAAAATGGTGGGCAATTCTACTATCAAATCAAAATAAGAATATGGAATTGCTCTCCAAGAAGCAACACTTGGAAAGTTGGATGATGCGAAGCTACTCCTTAACCAGGGGGCCGGTGTGAACGGCTAAGTTTGCGAACGTGGCACTGGTCTGCCAAGCTGCAGAATGCTACCATAGGGGCTCCTTTTTGACAGGTAACATTTATCCAATAGAATGTTGTGAAGGGATGGAAAATTTAGCCGCCAATCAGAGAGTTGATTCTAGACCCTAGCAGACGCATCTACATATTTCGCACTGCTTGCATATATTTGGCCCATATTACACCAATATATGAGTTCGCCTTGAACGTCGAGATCCATACGACTTATCGTGCTAGAATCAGATAGGGTTGACAAGTATGGAGTAGAGTAACCCCGGTGAAGGTTAGACTTCAATGCTGATAGAACGTTCTATTCAGGTAACTTTTGATGTCTTTCCTAATACTATTCTTATTTTTTTAATTTTTATTCCGCTGTTTCCTTCCTGTTTCCTCTCCCGCTTCGTTACTTATTCTTCCACCTCGTTCGCATTCTTTAGCGTGAAATTCATATGGCTCATCCCTTTTCTTGCTGAAATGAAGGCTTTTTTACGAAAAAAAAAAAGAGTAGGTTTCGCTCTCTTCCTGTGTATACTACATTATAGTACACGTCAGTTAGGTGGTTGAGCAGACACTATTTACATGAGAAAAGCAATCAAAACAGACAGCAATATCCAAAATACTACCCAAATACCAACAACCACTAGTTTCTGGAATATGAAATACGCAATAAAATTGCCCAAGAGACAGATCGGGGTGTTGATCAACAGAAGAAGAAAAGTCAATTCATATCTCCTGGGGACGGAAAAGTGTGCTTCATCTATCATGCCATCCATCGTAGAGGACTGCTTCTATTACACTTGATTCGTTAGCGTGAATGAGCTGGGTGATGGTAAAGATCATTCTGAGGATTTTACCGAGACAACAAGTGAGCTCGAAGTGTAATGGATTGCACAACAAGCGTCGATTCCAACAGTGTTTGCTCTCTGAAAGCTTTAAAGGGTTTGGTCAATATTTGTTTGAAACAGAGCAATTTCCCTCATGACATAGAGCTAAGAGCTATTGAGGGAATGAACCCAAGGTGTCCATGATGGCTGAACAGAAAAGTTTGTTCTTAAATGGTGCTGCTGTCATAGCTTCATGGCTGTGCATCTAGGGCCATCTAGGCTTGATACACTTCATGTCCTGTCTGATTAAACATTTCCAAGGTTAGTAAGGCTATTGTTCTACTCAAAATGCGCAATTAAAACTTTGGAATTAGCAGGTATGACGAGCGGGCCATTCCCGGAAAATGCGGCTAGTTTTCCCACCTCTTTGCTGGCATTTTAGCGGGTGATTGGCTGCCTTCTCTCTTCCAAGCTATTTCCTGAGACCAATCTAGAATTTTCGCCTCACATTCCAAAGACGTTTTCAGTTACTCAAACATGACATGAAATATCAAGCTTGGTAATGGTTGGCAATGATCCGATTCATTCAATATGCCCAAATATCTGCTGCGAAGCACGGACATGCTTAGGCCTATGATGCGGTTAGACGTTTCTTTTCCCAGTCTCTTTTCCTCCCATGTTCTCCCTGGGAGAAAAAGGAGTAAGTCAACCTACTGGCTATATCACCCTTTACTTCCCAATCTACTAAATATAGATAAATACTACCCCTTATCTCCTAACTGGGTAACTAGTGAACAACGGAACAAAACAGAAATACTAGCTGATTAGCACATTCTTTGGCTCAGATTGAAGGCATTAAGGATAAACAAGTCAACCGAAAGCGCTCTCGTGTTCTTATAGTCGACCTTCCGGAACGTTTTCCCCTTGCGCATGGGGCCCTGACCCACTCTCCTAGATCGTCTAGGCCACCTCATATTACATGTCATATCCCCATGTGTATAAATTAAGCTGTCACCTAGTGCTTAGCCCTGAACTAACTCCATCATATATTTAAACAGGGTGTTAGAACTCAGAATGCACCAAACATGACACAAGTCGCTTCTGATGATTCCATGATCACACACGAAGCCACCCAGAACGCGGATTATTTGTCCCTTGAGTGGAAAGACGAGGATATATGGGACACCAAAAAATACATTCGTCGACGAAGGGCACAGCTTAAAAATTACCAACGGCTTGAAAATGCCCTTTGGAGAGCATGGGCAAAGCAAGGGAAAAAGTTACCATATTTCCCACCGCGATTGATTCGATGGTAAAGAGCTGTCCTTTGACACTTCACAATTTCAGATGATTATCGAGCTGACATTCATCATCTTATTAGGGATAAAGATACCGATATAACATGGCTTTTCGGGCCTTGGAAAAAGCGCGCTAGCTTACAACCATTTTTATCTCATCCTCCGTTGCAGGCAGGAGAGCCCGGAAGTGTATCTTTTATTAGATCAGAGCAAGCTCTTAGTCAGAGGAAGTTTGACTCCAATGAAACTCGGAGTATACTACTTCCTCCAAGGCCTTTGTCAATATGCAAGCCGCCGAGAAAAAGGGTATGCCTTGAATGACAAGTATCACAGATAGTACACTGGCTAATATCGAAAGTGCAGGTTTACGCATCGCACATTCCTTCACCGAGAGCAAAGTGTCGCCGAGTTCGATTTAGTTGTGAAGTACAACAAGTTCTCTGTCTCCCTGGAGCCATTCCCGAGAATTTAATATCGGGACACAACTTGTCGGACAGTCATGTCTCCTTATATTCGTTGTTGAAATTCTATAGAAGTGGACAGACCTTGTTGCCACTGCCACCCGCGTGTCTGAAGCCTCCCGACATTCCTTTTCAGCCTTTGTCATTGAGCCCGCCTTTCTTTTTTGAAGGCAAAGAGTAAGTCCAAACCATCTGCTGCGAAGGCTTTTGTGACAATATCGCGGACTTGACAGAGGGTTGACGTTGAACTCGGCCACATGCAGGTGTGTTTTTATATCTTGATTTCCTCTCATGTCGGCGTGGTCAGTCAGATATCCCGCCAACAGTTCATTTTTGAATAATTAATAGAGTCCAAGGGTCAGGGTCATGGGAGACCATATAATGTGAGACCTCTTTCTCCGTATTTGGGTCCTGATAGTATAAAGACATGTTCGGCGACTTATAGATGCAAATGCGTTATTAAGTTGCCGAAAGGCAGGGAGTAGACCTATGTTATAGACCTAATCATAGCAAAACAAACCTGTCAGTCTCCTAAATAGGAGGCGGAAAGTCTCAAGATTCAGAGGTGCGATGATGGTAGTGGCCATTTTGGTCATAGGTGGTTCTAGCCTGAACCATCCCACGATTGGCTGACATGGCTTATTCATAGGTGGCAGCCTGACGATAATGGAGTAAATTCTGATTGGCGGGGACCATGCGAATTTGGTTGAGATACCCAGATGTTGATATTAATGCTGAGATTCCGCGCGAAATTGTTGTTCTTGTTATGCAATAAATTGATGTTGTCTTGGAAACTGTTATAGTCTTAGATTATCTTAGCGATCAATCTGTTCGCGAGGACCACATGTTTTATGCGAGAACTCATCGAAACCCGTTTGGAAAAAGGCTTCGTCTCTCAGCGGATTTTCACTCAGTTTACGCTCCATTTCGGTTCGCAGCTCTGCTGGCATTAATGGTAGATACCTTCGCAACATAGCGCTGTGTGGCGACATATCTAGTGCTTGATTTAATGAAAATGCCGGCTCTTTTGCATCTCTTTTAGTCATAGAAGAGATGTTTTGTGAAGCAGCTGGAAGTGAAGTTCCAGACTATCGGGCGTTTTCGCCCCGATATCAATCAATCAACTAGTCAAAGTTCAATTAACCTTTTGGAGTATAACTAGTTGCGTATGAATATGCAGGCGCTTCATCCAGCTGAAGCAAGAACTCGAAGCCAAACGCCGAGCGGGATCTCTCCTAGAGAGTAGACCTTGCCAACTCCCACCATTTGGTCTCATGGGACCGCTCCTATAGAAGTACTAAGAGGTAGGAATAAGGTGTTAGTCCGGTCCTATAGGACTTTAATATGACTATATTATATACGACCTTCTTTAAGCACTTTTCAAACCTGGTTCCCACTTATATGGCAAATACTTCGGAACGGCCCCGCGAGCCAGGATGTGTCATATTCGATACGGGCGAAGAGACAACCAAAGATGGCGTCACTAAGCTCAACTTTAATCTGACTATTATACACTAACACGCCACTCTAGGGAATCTGGACGAACATTCAAGGAACGTCATTATGGACCATCAACGGAGCGGCATACTGTCACCTCTTCGTGATGAGAACATCCCCACCCACCTTACATTAACTCTTAAATTCAGACTAGCAGTATGGGGAGCTTCGAGGGTTTCCTTACTCGCGGAAAGGGCATTTGGCCATAGTGGGGATAATAGAATTTATGGCAACTACACCAAGCTTATATTGATTGGATGCCGCCTCTGCCATGAACAACAAACTATAAAGATACATGGGCAATAATATGACTCGAAACGGTACGTTATAGTTTTTTTTTTTTTTTCCCCAAAAAAAAAAGAGAACCCCCCCCAAAGAAAGACAAAGAAATTGGGGTTTGATTCAACTAAAGCCTCGCGCTAAAGCCCCGCGCAGTAACAAAAAGAAGGGCGATAAAATGTCTGTCTCATCAGTCGAGGCCGACTTTAGAGAAATGATTAGATCACCAGATCTCATGGCTTCTCTAGGGGGCATTTCCCTCTAAAGATCCAGGCCAGATTTTGCTATCCCAATCCTGAATCTCCTCCGTTGGAATTCTTCCACGGACTTCCACTCCAGATGAAAAAGTCACGTAAATCATGGGTGCACCATCTTTGACAACTGCCCCAGTGAACGTCAGGTTAGGTTGTTTTAGGGTCGCTGCATCATGATAAATCACAACCACGGGGACAGCGACCTCCAAGGGTATCTCGGTGGCTGGGCTTGGTATAAAGGTCAACTGGCGCTTGATTTGAGACCCATCGGCCGTGAGGGTGAGAGTTCCCTTAGGCTCTCGAGGTGTGAATTTTAGGTCTAGGGACCCTGGAGGTTGATTGCAGGTTAGCAATCAATGTTTGCCAATGAGATAAAGAATCGAATATCGTACCTTTTGCCTGCTTTTCCGTTTCAAGGAGTGTAATCCGCTGAGTTTGGCCCTCCCAGGTCAATAACACAACCACGGCACCATTTTCACCTTTGATTGTAAAGCTCCCCACTTTATGGGAGCCGAAGAGATGAATCGAGATGTCCGTCGAAACCCCTTCCGTGTACGAGCCACTGAATGATTTGACTTCTTGGTATCCGGCAGGGCCCAGGTTTATGCCAAACGCTCCTTCAATGTGACCAGTCTCTTTATCAAGGGAGCCCTTAATCTATTTTTCCAGTTAGCAATGCCAAGTGGGAGGATGTGTTTAGCAAAATTGGCTCTACAGTACTGACATCGAAGGGTCCTATGTGCTTGTTGAATTCTGTATTTCTAGGTCAGAATAGCTCCTCTGGGGATTGGGTATCCCGAGCACGCACCTTGCTTTCTAGACATGGTTGCTGGTACTGTAGTGAGCCTTGCAATGAAGAGAATTAGAAGTATGTTTGTGGTCTGTGAAACTGTGCACAAGTACACACCTTTTATAGGCTCTCCTGGCCTCAATAAAAGGCAATATATTATCTTACATTTATGATTTCTATCTATCAAATTTTATTTGCATAATATACGTGGAGCTGAAAGATACAGCTCAGCTGGCAGATTTTCCCATGCATCCGGAGATTTGGGCGGTCAAACCTACCGCTGATACCACCAGCTGATGTCAATGGACAGAATAGATGCACGATGAGAAGCAGGATTACAAGATTTGATGTCATTTGTTACGTACATAGACAGATGGGGCTCGGTCGATCTCGGTCTTGGTGGGGTAAGAGATGCAGGAAAGATGGTCGACAACATAAAGCCTAGGTCCGCCGGGGGATTACAAATAGTTTGGATGATCAGCTGCGCCATCGGTTTCAAATGGAGCTGGTATTGCTTTTCGTGCATCGAGCTACTCCGTAGTAGGTGTATGCTCATATTGTGCAACATCTTTTTTAATGCAGGTCTAAGGTGGATACGAACGCCACACTGGCAGAGATAGCATTAGGACTCCGTGAACTGGTGACTCTTGCAATACTCTTGTGCGGCCTAAGCTATGTACAAATTATAGGTTATTGATTGACAAGACTGTAATTTTACCTACACAATACCTCGTATACCTGTTACGTACTCATTCCCGCAACTTCCAGATGTGCCACCAAGAGGAGCAACAGGAATGAAACACCATCTCCTTAGTCTCCGCGGAACGGGAAAACTTCTACCACTCGCCGGACGATAGTAGTGTGGCATCTATGCTACAATATAGCAATTTGTTTTTGATGGATTGGATGAGCTGGGTTTGGTGGACGATCGTTTCGAGCCGAGAATAATCCGCCAGATGTCCCGGGTCGTGACGTGTCCACAGCTGTCTTCTGAGCTCGTGCTCTCGGTATTTGAGTGAGCTGCGTTAGAGTGGCCATCGCTGAGCCGAACCTACCTTCTGGTCCGAGACGTGGCAGTCGAATCGAGGTTTTCCAACGCATCGGTCGCTGCCGTTCCTCAGGTATAGTGGGAGGTTCGGGAGCGCCCGCATGTGGGTCCGCCACCCGTCCCGCTCGGTATAAAACAACAATTCTGTTCCGTAGATCTCATTACAGAAATAGGCGGGTAGGACAATGTATGGTAATAATATAATATATGTAAAATTTTCTAACTAAATTGACAAAATCCGCTCTTTTTTCCAATCTATATGGATATAGCTGATTAAGCAATGTATGTGTCCACGGGTTAAGGTTTGTATGGTACCGTTATCATGACAGTCCATCTATCTTCCGGTTTGTAAAGCCTTAGTAATTTCAACCCTGCATTATGCATGATACCCGACATCTATTTATCTCCTGTGAATTCATGTATCACTTTGTCAATTCAGTATTCTTTTGAGATACTGCTTGGCACAGACCTTGATACCCCGAGGACAGTTTTCCGCGGCAGAGAAAACCTATGGTGATCAACTGCATTCTTTCAAAATGTTACGGACCTGTACATTGTAACTTCAAGTGGACACACGATAGCCAATGCAGTTCTCACCCCTGAATGGTGCTAGGAGGTTCAATTTTCAAGCGCAAGTCCTAGGTTCATCGACCCCTTGTGACTAAGATCAAGTAGCCATTGCCTTCACCTGGTCAATCGAAGTATATGAGTTCACTATCCTCTCATTCCTCTCAAGCCGCTCAGAATGCGGTGGCTAGTATTGAAGGTTCCAGCGCCCTAACAGGCGACCAAATTCGATTAGCGGTGAGCCTGACACGACCTGATATGTCTAATTTCAAAATGCATATCGTCTTCTTGGGCTCGGACGTAGAATTTCTGTGAGGTATTGAAGCCGCTCTTAGGAACAACAAGCCTTCAATCTGAGCCAATCTTCTCAAAACGTTAAGGCATAATGATGCACCAGACTTTCATTTCAAATCACTTCTTTATACTCTAGCAGAGCTTTCTCCAACCTGTCATTCTCAACTTTCCGTTTGATATTTCCTCTCAGAAGCATTCCCTGCAAATGATGTTATGCTGGATCACAATATTTTGAACCATATGATTACAATATGAGGTCGAAAGAATGGCTCAGAAGAGAGCGATTGATTGAGCAACGAGGCTCAGTGCGCCTCCGGTGGACAGGGTGAGAAGAGAGGAGTTGACTTGTTCAATCTCGCCATTTGTCGGCTTGTCCTTGATCAAAAGAATCTCTTACTAGCTGAAGACACCTTTGGCCATCTTTGCCTTTATTATGGTGCGATGTACAGCTTGCCGCCCATATGTCAATCAATCGTCAATTGCGCTAAAACTTAGGGTCAAGGCTACCCTTCAAGATTGATCTTAACCTTGGATTGCCCAGGATGTACACCCTTTCACTACGCAGTGACTAAAAATCATGTGGCTGTTGCAGAGATATTCCTGGAAACCTTGAATTCGGACAGTCAGTCAAGTCATGAAGCCCAGGGTCAGAATTTGTTCAACCGGCTTAATGATCTCCTAATTATCGCTATCAGATACCAGCATGATGATATGGTGTTCCTTCTTGGAAAAATTCAGCTTGAATTTCAAAGGCTGCTTTATTCATACTGCCTTTTATGTTGCCGCTCAAAGTGGACGTGAAGACTATGTAAAGGTCCTGCTAGAAAATGGCAAGGATCTCTATTTAGACACCCCTGGAATACTACGTGGCTGGACTCCGTTGTTTATTGCTTCTATGGAAGGCCATGGGACCATTGTACAACCTCTCTTGCAATCAGGAGCGAACCAGGGTACTTATGATCATCTCAGCTGGATCGCCAAAGAGCATGCAGCTTTGAGAGGCTATCTATCTCTGGCCGAAATGCTGCAACGATGGGACATGAGTTATGGATGACCGTAGTCTATAGTATTTAGCCATTAACTTCCCTAACGAATATAAAGCCGTACGATTATTCTTGAATCTTATCTAGTAGCATACCGGTATAGGCTAACTCCTACGTAGACTGCGATATCGCCCGTCCACGGTAGGCGGTAGACTATTTAGATTTTCGAGCACCCGTCTATACAGGGAGGGTGTGAGAGCAACGATTTTCTGCAAGTATCTAACTGGTTTAGTGCTTGCTCTAGGTTATCATGTAAATCTCTCTACTTATATGGAAATCAGTAGATATGGTCTCTCAAACTGAGGGTTATAAGTCGGCCGACATGAAAGTAAAATTTTACAGTCCAGACACGCTCATCGATAACAAGAATTGGCGATATCAACGTTAATATTACATAGTAAAATTTCTCTATTGAACTTTCGAAGAGGATAGCTTATATCCGTATATCTGTGAGCTAAAACGATGCTGTAAAGAGAAAAGTATAATGTTGGGAAAAGTCCGCCGATCGTCATACATATACGGGAAGATACGAGTGATATTTTGATTTCTATCCTAGCTTCCTCACATGATTTTTATTCAGTTGATCGCTGTGTGGATCACCAACCGAAAGGAGCCAGGTGGAAGTCCACATTGACATTTGTTATCTTGGAAACATCGCCAAAAGCGAGGCATATGTCATGAGCCATTGCCTTTGGACCACAGCCAATCATGGAGAGGTTCTTGTCTCCGGAAGAATCCAGGGCTCCAACATGGCTTGTCACTATATCGCTGATGCGCGGCCTTCCGTGGTAGAAGGTCGTTTTCAATGACCCATCCCCCGATTTTTCAGATCTACCTTCACAGAGAACATTTTTGGTCAAAGTTTCAGCTTTGACCGATGATGACGGCGAGATATCAGACTTTGTATCCCCTGAAGGCTCAAAAGGCTGGGAGACGTGCTTTGTTGGCGAGATCTCGTCATTTAACTTGGACGAGGATGTTAGGTAAATGTCCAAAGACAGTTCGACATCTTTCGATGCAAGGACGTGCTCCCAGGTCGAGATGTAGCGCTCGCGCACAAACTGATAGAGCCCAACGTTTCTAACAGCCCAAACAATTTTGATAGTCTTTGTACCTGATTTCAGATATTCATCCGAGCGAACAAAGTCCAGCAGCTGTTGCATGAAAGAAGTCGCAACCGTTATACCTGCCCCTCCAATAATGAAGATGGCGCTTTGAGACTTCCATGGGCAGAAATTTGTTCCATACGGACCCTCGACAGATAGAGTTACCTTTCTCACGGCGGATGAAGCAGCCAGCTCGGACTCGAAATCCTCATGACGCAATAGCTGTCTTCGCAGCCTGGAGGTAAACCCGTCTCGTATGCTGACGAGGAAAATAAGTTCAGTATAGGACTCCTCTTCAGTTGTCACCTTATTCCAGCCGCTGAGCGTGAATGGATGACTTTCCCAGAATTTGATCGAGCGCCAACCGTAGACGTAGAAATATGTCCCGGGATTCAGAGACAAAACCTGTCTTACTCGGGCCTTGATCAAAATGACATTGGCCTCGCTGTTGTACTCCGCAGATGAGTATGCGGTGAGTTTGTTCCAAGTCAATAACCGCAAAATTCTTCCAAGTCGGTCAAAGGACCAAACAGCAACACAAGGCCAGATGAACACGACGTAGTCGGGCCCATCAACCATCAAATGGCTAGAGTTCCCTCATGGTTAGCCTTTTTCCGGAGCCACAAGTTTGCGGACAGTACTCACTACCACAGTGCAATAAGGATCAGACAAGCAAAACCTTGGTGCACGATCAGGAACAAGTCATAGACTGCGTTTCGAATTACAGAGCTTGATAAAAGACATGTGACGATTATCGAGGAGGCCGCCTTTTAAACAAAGTTAGCGAAAAGTAGAGACAAGATGAATTCTAGACTTGCAATAACTCCCATGAACCAGTGGGTCTCTTTCCAAAGAGGAATGAAATATTCCGTTCCAAGTTCTGGAATATTATAGTGTCAGTTGAAAGGTAAATTGAAGGCATCTGGAAAATCTATCGGCAGCCTCACCTAGGTTTTGATAGATGCAGACACACATCCCATGAACAAAGACTTCTAGACCACATGCCCGAGCTATCCAGCGGTGAAATATATTGAATGTAGCAAAGTCCCAGCCCGTCGCCCACAAGAGAAAGTTATTTCTTGTTGCAAAAATCCACATCACTGGCAGATTGTTGATTGCCATAACCCCTGCCCTATCTCCAATGTACCGCCAAAGTTGTGTGGACTTCTGGGTAAAGCTTTTTAGGTGGAAATTAGCCAGCCAAATACTTTATTTGCAAAAGGTAGGGAGGCCAATTAATGTGATCTTACTAAAGGTTGGCTTCGAAAGCATGGTATTCAACACACATGAGAACGATGTTGATCAAGAAGAACGCCGAAATCGTAATTGCACATAGTCTTGAGGTAGTAGAGAATCCGGAAAAGCGAGCCATTTGCCTGTTTTTCATAATGGGTGGCACGGCCAAGTATCGGAGAATGAATTCTTGAAATTTGGTGGTGAATGCCGAGCGAAAGACAGAAGAATTGTTCAAATATCGAAGGATATTATTAAGGGTGCCGAAAAGGACTACCAGCCCCCAGAAACCGACAGTTGCATAGCTATAAACAGGATTCACCGTCAGTAAAGACAAGGTATGACAAAGTGGATGGTGTCTTCGGTTACCCATAATGCTTTCGTGTGATAAGTTGGTTCTCCCAATCAAACTAAAAACAAATTAGCTACAATATAGACAGGGAAATAATATTGTGACTTGCCATTGTTGTATAAGCGAAGTCAAAAAGAGTTTGATCAACAGAAGCCGGTGTATCAAAGCTGGTACCAGCTTGCCTATCCTCATAAGTTAAGACAGGCCATGAGCTAACCTCAGCTTCAGTCACGTCGTCGACAATAGACCATGGTAGAATATTAACTCCCCCATCTCCCTCGCATGACTGATCAAGGCTTTTCCATCCCTCCAAAATTTCATTCGCTGGGCAATAGGTCTGCATGCAGATAAATGTTGACTTCACCTGGAGGACATTTCTGCATATAGCTGAATAGTAGTCCTCAGCGAGGCTAATCCCGGAAAATTCGTTGCCAGAAAGCGCTGTTTGGCAGGCAGTTGCGCATATTGCATCAGCCGTCGCCAATGCCGCCTGATACAGAAAGCAGATAAGAAGTAAATTTTTCATCGCGGTGCGTGAGTTTTTTTTTCCCCTTCCACCGACAAAATGGTGGGGAGAATTTCGGATTTGCTTCTATTATGTGGGGGAGGATGACATATAGGCCATTTCAAATTTTGCTGCTTTTCTCTACGGCAAATCAATTAAATGCTCTATAATTTTCAATTGGTAATCGTATAATCGAGAATACGCACCGTGGAAGCCAAGAGAGGCCAAGAAATTCCATGGCTACTCAGGATCCAGATTCACGGAGCGTCACCACCCCTTGTGGCAGTTGAACGCATAATTTTCCTGTATAATCCGCAAGTAATCAGAGACATTGAGGGCTATCCACCATTGCAGGGTCTAAGTACGAGTTGCATAGCCTCATTAAGGTGGGCCTGATGGATTGTATCTGCGAGGAAGTGACGAATAGAAGCGAGAAAAATTTGTCTAAGTTTTCAAAGTTTGTTTAAAGTCCCTGCCAAGCCTTGGTTCCGTGGTGAGTCTAACTTAATGGTTGCTAATCAGATTAGATAGGATCTGATAAACATGACGGTGGGAAACAAATAAAACCTTGGCAATAGTTGCTAGTACACACCAGGATAATTCACCGACCCGTGCCTTGGCACTTGGCATCTTGGCTTTTTCACATCTGGGAATAGCGTACGGAGTATGTTGTCCTCGTCTCAACGCTTTCAGTCAAGCTCTCCATATTTATTGTCAAAAGATGGAACGGTCTACGAAGACGTATAGGGGGCCCGGGGCCAGGGTTCAAACCTCCTTTTTGTTGGAATTTACAGGCAAGTGAATAGAGTAAAAATGTGCGTTGTATTGTAAAGATATGAAGTTATACAGAACATAGAGGAAAGACCTATGGAATGTGGATCATGTGACATATGGGCGACATGAACACTTTTTGGGTAGGTTTTGATGCCTGGATACCTAGATTAGTACCGCTTTATACGCTGCCCTAATACATTGTGCTGTACGGAGTAAATTGTTAATTTTGCCGAGCTCAGCGAAGCAAATTATATAGGCATGACAGAATCAAGCTTAATACTTTTCAGATTTGAGATCTGACTTCTAATTGGTTAAGAAATTCACGTGTGACGCGGGTGGTGAGGTATGCATAGGTCACGCGATCAAACTTTTAAACCTACGTACCTGCCTTGTTAACACGTGATGTCTCTACAGCACGTGACCTCTCTCTCTAATAATTACCCTGCGCTTTGTTTTTTACTAGCCATACCATGTGATATACACCGATCTACTCCGAATTAGGGAAGAGGAGAGGCAGACGAAAAAGATGAACGGGGCCTTTGTGTTGATAAGACGCGTAGTGGTGGGAAGAGGCAGAGCGTCCAAAGGACGGATGTTTGACTTTTCAGGCTTAATGTCTGAATGTGCCTGAATTGATATGACAGAAACCTTAATAAGCTTCCCTGGAAACTCATGCATGGATACATAGGAGGCTTCTAAAGAATACAAATGAAGCTATTCCCTTGTGTGCGGTCGGGGATGATTTAACGCTAGGGATTCGAAGAAACTGATAATTTGTGGGAATAGCTTCAATTTTCAGGAATATGGAGATTTATTTCTGCTTCAATTTACAGCACATCTTATAAAGCGGTGTCAATAGCGGTATATATTTCAGGCACATTAAGGTATTAAACCTAAAGAATCCTTCGCACTGCTACCCTCCTTATCAACACGAGACGCCCGTTCTTCTTTTTCGTCCACCCTCCCTCGCGACTCCAAACCTCGGTACGGAATCGAAGACATAGATTAGAAGGGGCATATAGCTAATTCAATATAGTGATCACACTGGGTCTCAACGAGAAGGCCTTTAGTCACTCTAGAACCACTCCAGCTGAAGCCGGGGGCTGATTACATTCTCTGGATTTACCTAAGGAACACGTCTAGCCCGATCGTTTGCTCGTGTTTCGTCTGAGACATAACACGAACCAACATCTCGATCCGTTGTTATTGGGTCTACGTTGGTCAAGACTCTACCGGCGAGACAGTCGATGGAGTGTGTGGCTTAGCTGTATCGCCTATTATTATAGCTATACGACGGGAATGCTCAAGTATCATTGCTCCATCGTCGGCCTTGACCATCTATTCTATAGAGGGAAAATCTACCTCCGTCGGCTCTGTCCAAGTTGACAAATACCTCGGTCTCTAAGTCGGTCGGCTTATCAATAGCAATCTCGATGCCACGAGATCACGCTTCTTCACAGAAGAGCCTGCTCAAGTCAATAGGACTAAAAGAATCATGGGCAATCCACGGGGTATGAGCGTGCTAGAGCTGACCTGGCCTACGACCCCGAAGGCGATGTGACAAGCCAATCAGATGCAATTAGTCGTCGCTCAACGGTCCTTCATAGTATGGGTGTCCATATCAAAATTTACTTGAGCCCGGTGCTCGATGGGTTGTTGACTCTATTCTTCTCAACGCCTATACGACTGCCACTTCAAATATGAAAAATGCGCAGCTGTTGAATGTCCAATACAGGGGCTATAATTTCAGCCCGGTTACCCTCAATCGAAACAGGGTCATTCTCTATGGAAGACTAAACTATAGCGTGTGGCATGGCAAGAGTGAGGCCTTGTGTCTTAACGTCCTTATCGTCAAGGTGAAGCGCGGGGCTAAGAGGAAAAACCCTATTCCCCAACTCTTAGGATATATGGGTCTATATCTCGCTATATGTACTGAGCTCTATTTGAGAAAGCTAATCGGTATAAAAGGGTATATCAGCCGCGGACGTAAGGATGAGAAGAAGTGCAACTACAATGTCTACGGTATTGTGTATACTAGATCCGTTCGGCATTTTTTGAAAATTAGTCATGAGTCAAAGGTAAGCTTCTTAATTTATATCAGCTAGGGATACGATTCTAATATCTACTAGTGATCGGAATTTGCTATTATCGCTCTGGGACCCTCTCGATCAGCCGTTCGATTTGCTAGTGTGGATGCTGCGGAGGGCAGCTGCTATCTCCCCAGCTCACTCAAAAGAAACCTCAGCGGAAACTTACCTATAGTGCGGTGGGGTCGGAGCAGATGGATATTGATCTTGCAGTGTTGTGTTGATTGATACATCTTTCCCCTTCTCACTTGAGTCGGCTCTTATCACGAGATCGCCATTGCTGGTTGGTTAATCTCTTAATACAATGACCTCGAAAGGGAGTGCCCGCCTCTTGCTAATATAAGTTCGTGATAAGAGTGCTCTACACTAAAACACATTGTACTCCTGTTCGAGGAACATGGCAGTTAATAACTGAGCGAAGCCTAGTATGGTGTTAACACTAGACACAAAGCTACAGCAAATAGAGAAGAATGGGTATAGATAAATTCATTTCTTTACAGTTATAGTCTAAGTAGAATTGATATATTTACCTTTTAGTCAGGTCATTGTTGAGAAAGTGGGGAGAGGGAAGCGCGGACGCTCCCTGGGTCGGCCTCAATTTGGCTGATATCCAGAGGAGATGATCTAGTCGCTGCTTCGCTGCTCCGGATGCAGTCATTCCAGGGATACTGATGGCATCCAATGAAGGACAGATGTATTAAGAAACGTAGATCGAAAACCTCTATGGAGGGTAGAGGCTATTTGTGAGCAAGGGTGCCGTATATCTGCAATACTTCTCTTTACGCAAGACTTCCTGCTCGAAGACGCTGGGGAGCTTCTTGCGTGACCACCTTGACAGTGGCTGGAGAGGGTTGGGCTTGGACTGAATTGTCAACACCCAGTACGGTGGGGGCTGCGGCAATCTCTCCAGCCTAAATTTCCTGGTGGATATTGGGTGGGAGGAGTACTCCTCCAATCGGCAAGTGTCGCTGTGGCGGCTTCTGGGCCCTTGATCAAATAGACCTAGCGATACAGTGTTAGCTGGGCTGCGATGCGCGTGGCTAGTTGCTTGCCTGACTCTAAAAATCCCTCAGTGGGTCCCTTCTGTCGACGTCATCCGGTGTAATATTAGACCTGCTGCTGTATCTTTTTCGATATCCCCATGGCGGTCCCTAGACTGGGGTGTCCTGTAGCCTGTATGTGGTCGCTCTAGCCCACCTGAGGCTACACTTTGGGATCGATGATGAGCTCTGCCTTTCTCAAGGTATGATCCTAGTACAAGTGGAATTCGTACTATGGGTATAGGTTATTGATTTATTAATTATTATTAACAAGACTAGTTGACCGTTTATAGATGCTCTTTTAGATGCTCTTTGTAGATGTATACGAAGACAATAAACAAAGCATACTCTGCGCAAGAAACTGTTCTATATGTAACCTCTTAGTTTTCTGCCTGACAAAAGCCCGGTTGGCGTGATGACTTCTAAAACCTGCCGTAATATTGCGCGATAAAAGTCTCCATAACCAGGCCGCGGGAATCTATATCACGCTCAAAAAGTAGTTGCAATATAAACACCTCCGTGCTGGCGGACTCAGTGAATTACGTACTTTATATCACGATCATTTTGGAGTACACACGTCACAATAAAGAAACAAACAAGTGAAACGCTCGGCTGCTTTTCGTATTCACGGACCGATCCTTCTAGGCATGGATCAGCTACACTTCTAGACTGGGGACCTTAAAATATTGATCAGCGGCCTTGATTCCTGCCAAGGATAACGTTATTAATGTTAGCTAATAGCGAGCATTTTTGGATCGCGAGTGGAGCATGATGTATGAGAGAACTGGAGAGGCAACTGAAGTAAATATCCACAAAGATCAAGCCTGATATGGAAATATAATGCTCAGATTTCAGAATATGCTAGAGTAACAAGGCACAATAAAGAAAATGACCAACATTCAGACTTGGCTGATATATATTAATTACCAGCCCAATAAATCTGGAAACACATGGAACAAAGTACTTCAATCGCAGGATTTGCGACGATCTGCGCGATATTACTTACCCCAACTAACTTCTCCAATTTTCCTCCACTCTTTCTATAACTATCTACATAATGTATATTGCCAAGCCCATCAACACCCGGTAAGTGGCTTGGCCTTGGCACGATTACCTTTTGAACTTGAAATCGGCGTCATCACAGTGGGTGCTATAGCATAGAAGATTTAAAGATGTTTCAAACTGCCTCCGAAAATTGTCCGCGCTATATTTACGCTCCCTCTTTGGGGATTTTTTTATAGGAGATATATCTCTTCCGGTACTCAAGATTCTGGTAGTGAGCGTATTTATTCTGTCTGTTTCAAGAGTCGAGAGACTAATCAACATTTCGTTTGTATATTTTATGTGTTAATCCCTAACAAAAGATACATTGAATGTTGAGGAGTTGTGGAGACCCTACTGCAGGCGGTTGGGGTACTTGGCAAGGATCAGGTACATATTCGGATGCTTACGGGTAAACCCAAGCTTGGTGAAGAACATATTGCCAAGTAACCTAAATTTGAGAAGTTCATCAAATTCGGTGTCGGAGCTGTAAGGGTCGGATGATGCATGTTGTGCCTCACACTCTGCTAGAATATATAAACCATGACCAATGCCGGTCTCATAATCTACATCTGTACTATATATATCCCACATTTCTATTTCACTTGACTAGGTCGAGAATCACAATCAAAATGGGGTTCACTCTTCAAACACTCGCTATTTCTGTTCTAGCCGTTACAAGCTATGCCTCTCCTTTGATCTACCCCCGGGCAGCAAACACATCCTATACAAACTCCAACGGCTTGACATTCAATCACTTCAACGGTTCTCTTCCTAATGTGACCATCCTTGCCACTGGTAAGCATAAATAACATATGACATGATAAATCTACATAACACAGCCTCCTCTAACCCAAAAATCAGGCGGCACCATCGCCGGCACAAGTGACGACAAAACTGCAACAGCAGGCTACAAATCAGGCGACTTGGGAATCAACACTATCCTTTCCAGGATACCAGATATCTTCAATGTCGCTAATATCGCCGCCGTCCAGGCACACAATGTCAACAGCGGCGACATCTCCTCATCCCTCCTCCTAAACCTTACCCACACACTCCAGACACAAGTCTGCGATGATCCAACCATGTCCGGAGCCGTGATCACCCACGGCACCGATACCCTCGAAGAGTCTGCCTTCTTCATCGACGCGACAGTAAACTGCGGCAAGCCAATTGTATTCGTCGGCTCGATGCGGCCCTCTACCGCTATCTCGGCGGATGGACCCATGAACCTCTTGCAAGGGGTAACCGTTGCCGCAGACAAAGAATCCAGGGACCGTGGCGCGCTAGTTGTTCTGAACGACCGCATTGTCTCCGCTCTCTTTGCAACCAAGACAAGTGCGAATACTATGGATACCTTCAAGGCGTATGAGCAGGGAAGCCTGGGATTCATTGTGTCGAATAAACCGTACTTCTATTACCCAGCTGTGCAGGCAAATGGTAAGCATGTGGCTGATGTATCCAATGTGGATTCCGTACCTCGTGTGGATATCCTGTATGCATATGAGGATATGCAGGTCGATTCGATTTATAGTGCCGTGAAGAATGGTGCTAAGGGTATTGTGGTACGTTACTTACCCCAGTTTTATGAGATCCGAATATGTCCAGCAGTGCAGTACTAATTTCATAATAGATTGCTGGTGAGGGCGCTGGTGGTGTTTCCACAGATTTCGGTTCTGCTATCAATGACATTGTTGTGAAGCACAACATCCCCGTGGTGTTGTCACACCGTACTGTGAACGGCGAGGTCCCCACTGCTGATTTCACCGGGGAGAGCGCGAAGACCAAGATTGCCAGTGGGATGTTCAATCCCCAGCAGTCGAGGATTCTGCTTGGGTTGTTGTTAGCTGAGAAGAAGAATCTTAAGGAGATCCGAGAGGTGTTCCTGAAGGCTACTGTTGCGTGAAAGTTTTTTTTTTGACAAAGGCCAGGAAGGGAAAGGACGAAGGATGTGAGTACTCGTAGATGCATACATTAATATATAGATGATCGAAGTTTTTCCAAGAATTACTTACCTGGTAAGAATCGGGATAATAAGTGTGAACCGTAGAGATCAAACATTTTCATGTCACTCTCGGCAAATAGGAAAGTATTGGGCTAGACGTAGGTACGCTAGGTTTTCCACCTAAGAGAAATTTTACGACACTCGTTTGTAACGGTTATTTGTAGTTATGCAGCATGTGTATTTCACGAAAATAAGGGAAAGATTACATGAATGATGTATTTTGCTAGCCGAGCTAGTCTAGGTTAGCTAAAAGTGGTACATGGTGGGAGGATATATGAGGTCTGAGGACGTTTAGAAGTGAATGGCCTTCGAGTAGGTGGCCATGGCAGCCTCCTTGAAGGCCTCGGAGAGGGTAGGGTGGGCGTGGCAAGTACGAGCAATGTCCTCGGAGGAAGCACCGTACTCAATGGCGAGAGTGGCCTCAGCGATCATCTCACCGGCACCGGGGCCAATGATGTGGACACCGAGGATGCGGTCGGTCTCGGCATCGGCGATGAACTTAACAACACCCTCGGTGTCGAGGTTGGTCTTGGCGCGGGAGTTGGCGCTGAAGGGGAAGGTACCGACACGGTACTTAACACCGGAGGCCTTGATCTCAGCCTCGTTCTGGCCAACCCAAGCGACCTCGGGGTGGGTGTACATAACACTGGGGATGGCAGCGTAGTTGACGTGGCCGTAACCAGTCTTGATGTATTCGATGGCGGCAACGGCCTCCTCCTCGGCCTTGTGGGCCAGCATGGGGCCGAAGGTGCAGTCACCGACGACACGGACGTGGGGGAGCTTGGTGCGGTACTCCTGGTCGATGACCAGACGACCACGGTCGTCCTTCTCGATTCCGACCTGCTCCAAGTTCAGGCCCTCGGTGTAGGGGCGACGGCCAATGGCGACCAAGACAACGTCGGAGTCCAGAACCTCCTCCTTGCCACCCTTGGCGGCCTCAATGTTAAGGGCGACAGTAGCACCGCTGGCGTCACCGGAGACGACCTTGGTGCTGGTCTTGAACTTAATACCCTGCTTACCCAGGATCTTCTGGGCCTGCTTAGCGATCTCGGCGTCCATGCCGGGGCCACCGATCTGGCCGAGGAACTCAACAACAGTGACCTCAGCACCGAGACGGGACCAGACGGAAGCCTAATATCACAATAAAAAGTTAACACGATCCAACATTCAAAACTCATTCCGTAGTCAATACATACCATCTCAAGACCGATGATACCACCGCCGATGACGGTCATCTTCTTGGGGACCTCGGTGAGAGAAAGAGCACCAGTGCTTGTGATGATGCGCTTCTCGTCGATCTCCAATCCGGGGAAGCCGGTAGCTTCAGAGCCGGTGGCGATGATGATGTTCTTAGCGCGGAGGGTCTGCTCACCACCGTCGTTGAGGGCGACCTTAATGGTGTTGGCATCAACGAAAGAACCGGCACCCTTGAGGTAATCGACGCCGTTCTTCTTGAGCAGGAACTCGATACCCTTGGTGAGACCTTCAACAGATGTGTCCTTGGCCTTCATCATCTGGGTAAGGTTGAGCTTGACATCGCCAACCTCGATACCGCGCTTCTTAGTATCGTGAAGAATCTGGTGGTAGAGATGGGAGTTGTTGAGGAGAGACTTTGAAGGGATACAGCCGACGTTCAAGCAGGTACCGCCGAGGGTTCCGCGCTTCTCGATACACGCGGTCTGCCAGGGTGTTCGGTTAGTATGCGGATTGTAACGGCAAGACAGGCTTAATCAAAAGCCGACAGGATTGCAGAAGTAGTAGCTCATACCTTAAGACCCTCTTGACCGGCCTTGATAGCGGCAACGTAACCGGCGACACCACCACCGATGATGACCAGGTCGTGATCACCTATTGCCCGGGAAAACGGAAATCAGCAATCGCATCCGGGAAGCAAGGCGAACCTCTCTAGGAACTCCGGGATAGCGATGTCAGCACCGACTTACCTGCTTCAGATGCGAAACCACGTTTTGAGTGGCCAATGAAGATCATGGGAGTAGCAAAATTGTTGGGAACAGCCTTCGGGCCGGCATGGCGGAGGGCAGACCGGGGCGTAGCCCGGGGCAAGACGGCGCGGAACATAACGAAAGAAGGGACAGAAAGACTAGTTGTCTTTGAATATAAATGCAATCCTCGATGCGAGCGGATTGAAGTTGTTGGGAGTGCGCAAATAGGGTGGGTGGATTCGAGTACGGGAAATGACTGAGCTTTTGCGGTATTGCTTGGCCTCACCGCCTACAACGGACTGCAGCCATAAAGCTGGCCAATCTTGGTAAGGCGGTGAACACGGGCCGGTGGCTTACCGGGGGATTTCGGGAGCCAGTTCCGATGATTCTGCAGGCAGAATATTGGACATGGAAACCAAATATTTTGATTGAACACATTACGAGGCCAGGAGAAAGGCACATTTAATAGCACCTGCATTTGCTGCCAAATTTACATTGTAAGAAAAACTCCAAGGTATTGGTGGTTTGACCCCGGTTACTTTGCGCCATTTACCTCTTCCCGGTCTGGAGAGGTCTACTCCGGGGATCGCAATTTGGCAAGCCACTTTCCAAGGGCAGGAGGACCTAGCGGCGATTCCCCAGAGATTCTTTTGCCTACCCGCGGGTCATTTTTATCGGCAAGGATTCTCGGCGGTCTCCGCCGCGGTTATAAGCGGGCACTAGACATACACCTGGGCAAATACAGTGGATTATGCTAAAGCAGCCCACAACTCTCCGCACGGGTTGATCTTTATATGAGCATCCACCATTTAAGAGTGGTGGGTCGCGTATGAACCAGGTCTCAGGATATCAAAAGGATACTCGATTATTCTTCTGCTTGGCCTTCTTATTCAACCTGCTCTTGATTTTTCAGGAATTGTTCTATATCCGTGCAGTTTTACACCACCCATCCCTACGCACGGTGCTGGAAGAGGAATGTTCGATCCCAGAGGATAATTATCTAAATATGTGTGAACTCCTGACTAGACGGTGTTAGTGCATGGCAATAAGGAGCCCTGGAAAGAGGTATTTGGACTGGTTCAAAGCCTGATGGCATAGATGAAGAAGACCTCTCGTTGAAAGCAAAGGTTAGGCAATATTAATTTGTAAGTAACCGAGGAATTCAGAAAAAAAGTTCAAAGTCATTTCCCATGTGTATCCTCTAGACCCGGTCTGTGAGTTCATGAGCTCGTGCAATACATATCAAGGCACATTCAGTCCTGTCCACAAGACGATTTCTCCTCCTCATTCCGATTTCTCTTCTGTCGCCACTTGATCCCATTACGCGCCACTACCCACAAGCAAGGAGAAACAGCAATGGAGATCAACGCAAGCGCGGTGTACGCCCAGCCATCGCCCATAGCAGAGGTCATAGGGCTGATCGCTGCGGACGCCGCAGCACCGAGCTCACACCGGAATAAATTGTTTGCTGCAGTCGCGGCCGCTGACTTTCCCGGCCAAAGGTCAACCATCAAGGCATTCAGGACCTGTGAGGTTCCAATAATCGACCATCCAGTAATGAACAGAAGAATGATAGGAGCAGCCAGGTTGACCTTGTGACCCAACACCCAGGCGTAGCTCAGCATCGACAAATTACTAATGTAGTAAAGCGGGATTGCGACTTCCAGTCTCGCTCGCTCAATGTTGAAGTTGCGGATATCCGTACGCACATTCTTGATGACAGTGAGACCGGCACGTTTTGCATGACGGCGATAGTTCCAGTCAACCAGTCGGCCAGTCGTGAAAGCTGACAGCACCCCTCCTCCGCCAATGGGAAGGTACATCAATGAAGCATGGAGGTCGTTGAAGTGATAGATTTTATGGAAGGAGGTTGACGCACCAGTCATGACAGCATAAAAACCAGCGAATAGCAACCCTGTAGTGAGCAGGATGATCGACGTCTCGATATCCAGGACAACCTTCATAGTCGGGACCGGTGATGGGAATCGGAGAGAGTAGTTCTTTCGTACCTCAGCTTCCTTGTCCGGGTCGGGAACAAGACCCTTCCGTTTGCGTGTGCGATGCCGGATAATATCTGCCACAGAGTTATTCAAAGGAGGCGGTGGGATGGACCCATCTCCGACGACTTTGCGACAGGTCTCCGGTAGGAATAGACCGAGGATGAGGAAGAACACGCCACCGAAGATGAGTAGGAACCAAAAGATCCAGTGCCAATTGGTGTACTGACTGAAAAGGCCGCCGATGATTGGTGACAAGGAGGGACCTAACATGCTCCCAACTGAAGCGAAGGCGATGTATGAGCCTCGTTCCGCGGACGTGATCATGTCTCCGACCAAACCGTTTGCCAGTGCCACAGTCCCGCTGCTGCCTGCACTCTGAAGACACCTGAGAACCAGGAGGGCAGCATAACTATTTTGGAGACCTAGTCCGAGGTTGGCAGCAAGGTAAATTGTGAAGCAAATGATGTAAGCGGGACGGCGGCCTGCGGTGTCCGAGAAGCCTGCAATCAGCATGGGTGCCACTCCCTGCATAATCTAGAAATATGAAACCTGGTTAGTTGTGCATTTCTTCGACAAGACTTTTGCTTTCATGGACTTACCAGGTAAGTAGTGACCGTCAAGTTCACCTGGGAGACGGAGATATGCAGGGACCTCGCGATGGTGGTCAAAGCGGGCAGATAGATGCTTGAAGACAAGGGTGAGAAGAAACTAGCCAAGGATCCCATGGCAACAATAGCCCGCTTCTGGGCTACTGTGAACTGGGAATAGCCTTCCAGGGGTGTATCTCCATGCTGGCTTGGTGAGTCTTCGGTTTCTTTGGTATCAACCTCGTTGCCACGCTCTTGCGCCATGTTACCTTTTTCTATTGGATCCTCGAGGTCGGGGATTTAACTGACCATGTGGTAAAATCGTGAAAGATGCGTTTTATGAAATATCCCCGATGGTCTTGTTACTTGCCCGTTTCAGGGAAGCTAACCAATTAGAGTTCGTCGACAATCCCGGGACCGGCATCGACCTGTGAACTCGGTGAGCCTTATACCCTTTGCTCTTGCCACTTTTCAGTTCCTACCAGAATGTACGACCGGAAGCCTTGTCCGTGGATGCTAGGAAACATTTACCTGTGACCGCCTCTTCGATTCTGCATTTTTGGGCCTGAATGTTATATACACATGTTTTGTCGACCGTAACATGCACTTGGATGTAGACTGGATACTCAAGTGTTCGAAGCACATGCACATCAATCGCAGATACTATCTCGAAGGTAACAACCATGGTTGTGACCATGGCCATGCGTACTTCATATATGGGTCACCATGTGCTTTCGGGATACTAACTTGGAATAGACTCACCCCTAGGGCGTTATAAGTTGAGATTTCGTCACTCATAACCAAGATATCTAAGATATTCAATATTCGAGACACCTGACACCTTAGCAAATCCAGATTTGTGGACACAACGCGATTCTAGGGCTGCGGAGCTGGCTCGCCCCCAAACTTTCCGTTTTTCAGAAAGGAAGTAGGCAACACGAGGGTTTGTAAGGGTAGACGAATCTCGGAAGCAATTGAAACACACCCGGCCATACGGATGCATAAACAGCGGCAGTCTGAGTATTCCTGCTTGTCGGGATTCTCTTGTATGTCTCAGGGGCCCAGTAAGTTTGTTAAGGCTTGGCCTTGAAACTGAATTCGCTGGATGCATTGTCGCCCTCTTCGATGCTCGTCGGGACCGGAGTCCTCAGATGATGCTTCCCCCTGAGACTGTACAGGGTGAAACATAGCCTTGTATTCACGCCCTGGGATATTTTTGCCTCCTACACAATAGAGTATTTGCTTGACTTTGCATGGTTGCCCTATGACAATATCTCTTTGCTCCTTCTTCCTGTTCTTACCACACCGCCGATTCCTTCAATTAAGGACAAACATCACTTGTCCTATCAGCTCAGCATAGAGAACTGCTCGTGTTCTCTTTCCATTTTAGTGCTCATTCCTTGCCGCTTTTTGATCGAGTAACACTGAGCATGCCCCTGATGGCTGCCATGTGGTCGTCCAGGTCCCAGCCCGACCCACTTGGATATATGCTGATCCCCACTACGGGCGACTAAGTATGCCACTGGTTCATAACTTTCTCATTGGTTCATATAGGCGTTAATTTAGACCCATTCTCACTTTACAAGTATGCAAAGGTATATGCCGGCCAGGGATCGGAAACTATTTATATAGTCAAAGATTCAAAGGTTATACGTAGAAAAGTCTCTTATATAAAATATGCTTTTTTTTTACCACCCTCGTATATATCTAAGAAGAGAGCTAAAAAAAAAAGAATCTCAAACGAACATAAAAGGCCTTATAAGCGGCCGATTACAATTCATGTCTTGTACGTTATGAACCGGTGGCCTACTTAGTTGCCCGTAGCCTACACTAGTGATAAAACAGTATTTTACCTATTTCATACAATAATATAAATTAACTGCATTACAAAGCGCTAGTGAAGTTTACCTACGTAGATTATCATCGTTCCAATTAACAGGGATCTAACATGAGTGTAAGTTATGATGTGACGAAAATAGGCACAGCCTTGAAGGATACCTAACACATGGAATGTGACAGCGCTAGTACTCCTGTCCCCTAGTTGGATGGTATGGAATAGAGCTTGTTCTCTCCCTGTTCAGCTCCGGTCCGATAGCTCAATGTCGTTATTGATCTGCAGTTCGTCATTCAATTTGCAGATACCAAGTTTCTAACCTACCCAATGCCGTTGCAATCCGACCCTTGTCTCCGAAAAGGTACCCATCTTTTAATCTATTCCTGCAACTCATTGTCGGCTAGGCATCATTTCGAGGCGATTTCAAGAGAAGTTGCAATTGGAGTCCTCCCGATCGGCTGTAACGTTGTGTGCTGTGTCTGTTGATCATCCTCAACCTCCTAAGCATTGCCTTATATATTCCAGTCTGTTGCACTTCCATAGTAGTTGAAAACAGCCAATCTTCTCCTTTCACAATTCTCCCTTATTACAGCAGCTATGATTCTTTCAGCAACAGCTATCGGCATTGGAGCCCTCCTCTCAGCGGTTCCCGTGTGTGCCGCCTCATACTCTCAGACTAAAGTATACGATAGCACCAACTTCTTCGACGGGTTCAATTTCACCAGTGATGCGGATCCCTCTGGTGGCTTTGTCAAGTATGTTGATGCTGAAACTGCCCGGAGCTCTGGCATGGCCAAGATCAGCAACGGCGCAGTCTACCTTGGTGCCAACTACGTGGATAAGAGTACGAATGGCCGCCCTTCAACCCGGGTCAGGTCCAAAGACGTCTTCACCTCCGGCCTATTCGTTGCCGACATTGCTCACATGCCGGCTGGCACTGGAAAGGGTGGCTCGTGCGGTATCTGGCCTGCCTACTGGACCTCGGGCCCTGACTGGCCCAACTCGGGTGAGATCGACATCATCGAAGGCGTCAACGGGCAGAAATCAAATGCTGTCACCCTGCATACGGCAAAAGGGTGCAACATGGATGTGTCCGGGTCCGAGTCGACAGCAAACCAGACTTCTGCCGACTGTGAGGACTCTGACGCAGGTTGCTCTCAGGCCACCACATCGTCCAACAACTATGGCGCTGCCTTCAACGCTAACGGAGGCGGTGTCTATGTCACAGAATGGGCAAGCCTTTCTATCAATGTGTGGTTCTTCCCTCGTGGTACCGCTGCGGCTAATGCGGTGATCAATGCCGGCGCTGCGGACCTGGATGTGGCCAAATTTGGCGCCCCCTTAGCTCATTTTGAGGGCAATACCTGCAATATTGCGGAGAGGTTCAAAAACAACTACATTATCTTCAACACAAACTTCTGTGGAGGATGTAAGTATACTCCAAACTGCAGTGAGGACACATTCACTAACTTTCACAGGGGCTTCAAGAGAATTCTTAAATGACAAGACCTGCGCCAGCCTGGCCGACACCTGCAACGATTGGGTCGCAAATAACCCAGCTGCCTTCAATGAGGCTTACTGGCTGATAAACTCGGTCAAGATATATGCCCGAAACAACTAATCTTTGAAACCTGATGTTGGAAGTGGATATGAATTATGGGCTGAACGCGCATTTTCCCATGTCGCTAGCGAGAGTTGAATGTACATCCTCATGTCTACCTTAGTAGGGGCCTACTCTGAGCATATAGTGCTTGGGCAGATTAATTAAATGCGAAGGTTTTTCATACATTTCCCCACAGTTTCGTTCTAATTTTCGTGAACACAGCTTATCTGTACAATATATTTAAGTAGGGCAATCTATATAAGTGGACCCTGCCCTGAGCAAAAGAACGCTAATCCTGATTAAGATAGATCCCGCTCTTCAATTTGTCAGTCCCACTTTTCTCCTACTGGACCAATTGCATGCCTATTTTTTAGGACCCTCGGTCTCATGGGAACAGATTCAAGAAGCATCTTCCGTTGTTTCTATCATCTACAAGATCATGGCAGAGGGCATTAGGATGATATAGTGTCAGATTAATACACCCCAGGCATGTATTTCTTGATTACCCGGTACTGCGTTCCCACAATACTAGCCTACCTACCCCTCCCTATATGGAGGCATGTTATTGGCCAAGGGTGCGGCACAACCTAAATTAATGTGATATCGCTTTGCCTTAGTGAAAGTCATGTATCATTCTAGTATTCTCTGTAAAGTTACAAGAAAATCCAATCAAAGGCAAGGAGCCCTCGCTTCAGGATATGCTATGCGATGGCGCATTCATTTATATACTGACATGTGCGTATCGCAGCTATCAGAATGAGGTTGTCAACAATAACAGTGTTTATTTAAGCATTGATATCTACAACATATACCTATCAGGGACGTAATGACTGGCAATATATTGTATTTATTACGAACTTCAGATCGAGCCTCTTCCGGGACGGCTGCGACTGCTGGGCACGGGCCAACACCATTTCTTGGTAAATGTCATTGTGCTTATATGAAGCGGAGTTGGTTGCAATAAGCGAGTAGTCCTCTGCCTAAATGTTGCAGAAGGGATAACCCCACTGCAGCAAGAGTTCAGACTGAAATTAATTTGCCAAGCGCGTTCATGCATGAACGATGCAACCGAGGACAGTACCTGACTCTCCCGAGCCGAGGCCACGATACCCATTATCTACGACATACGATATAGGTACTTCTTAACTTAGTCCTGGGATAGTTTGTATTTTATTTTAACAATGACCATCAACAAGCTATCTTTAATCATATCAAAAAACATATAGATATATGTATTTCTCACAATGGTCCACTTTGCGATAGTACTATATATAACGGCACTTTGGAGAAGAATTAATGGACACTATGAAGCTACAGCCAATTGGAAGCATCTCTAAGTCTATAATATCCCATAAAAGTCACATTCAGATGCCGTTCGCCCGACAGGGAGTGCGTGGGGGCGGGTATATCCGTGTTCTGCAACAATCCCCATACAAAGTAAGTCTCTTAGTCGAACAGGGAAATAAACGATAATATCAAGGATTCTTCGGAGGAAACGACGAATAAATGAATTGAGAGGATTGGCGGCATTGTGGTAGATTCAAGGAACAAGACCTATTTGGCTGCATTACCCGCTTCTTACTGAGAATCGCTAAGACAGACTAACATCCTGATTTGATACAACCTACAGTGGGGCTAGCCTGTAACTGACGGGCTAGAGCAAGACTAATAGTGTTGTAGACGATACAGTTTCGGTGGTATTTTGGGCGTAGTTAGCTGTTGGTTATGTGACCACAGTAGAGGTGGAGGTGAGGGTTGTACCTGGAGTTGGTGGAACCATCTCTTAGGATGAAACCAATCACACGGCAGAATATCACGAGACCAAAC